ACCACATAGCAGAGCGAGTAGGTTCAGGGACAGCTCCTACTACCACCAAACAGCTGGTGGTACCCAGGAAATATTGACATGAGCTGCTGAAGATAGCTCATAATATTCCCCTGGCTGGACATTTGAGAGTGAGTCGTACTAATCACCGACTCACCCAAAACTTTTTCTGGCCTGGCATCTCCAAGAACCTGAGTCGGGCTTGTGATGTCTGCCAGAGGGTGGGGAAGCGGGGCGACCGGTACAAGGCCAAGCTCCAGCCCCTGCCCATCATTGAAGACCCCTGCGGCATAGTAGCTGTCGACATCATAGGTCCCCTGGCTAAGTCTAATCCCTCTGGGAAAAATATTCTGACCATTGTGGACTACGCAACTCGATACCCCAAGGCGGTCACCCTGAGCAACGTTCAGGCAGAGACTGTGGCTAAAGCCCTGATGCGAGTGTTGTCCCGGATTGGTTTTACCCGAGAGATCATCTCGGATTAGGGCACCCAGTCTACTGCCGAGATGACCCACCAACTGTGGCGGTTATGCGGCATTAAATCGATACTGAGTTCCCCTTACCACCCCCAGACTAATGGCCTGTGCGAGCGCTTCAATGGCACGTTGAAGCAGATGCTTCATACCTTTGCAGAGACTCGCAAGGATTGGGAAAGATTCCTGCTGCATCTCCTGTTCGCATACCGGGAGGTACCCCAGGAATCTTGAGGATTCTCTCAGTTTGAATTACCGTTCGGGTGGAAAGTTGGAGGGTCCCTAGACTTTGTCCGAGAGCACTGGGAGGGAAATGGGGATCAGGAAGGGACCCCCATCATCGCATAAGTTTTGGGACCGGCTGGAGGAACTCCACCACCTGATGCGAGGGAACCTCCAGACAGCACAGAGGCTCCAGCGCACATGGTATGATTGGGGAGCCAAGCTTTCAAGTAAATCAGAAGGCTTTGGTTTTGAAACCTGTTCAGCATGATAGGCTACAGGCTGCCTGGCAGGGCCCATACCAGGGTGGAAATGTGACACTACCTATGTGATCAGTCCTTGCTCGGGTACAGGAGTTAGACACATGTTGCAAGTAAACATGCTAAAGTCCTACCACGAGTGAACAGGGGATGCAGCCACTATATGTGCTCCAGCCTCGGAAGATTTTGATAATCTTCCCCTGCATGATCTCCTAGAGGATGGAGTTCAGGCAGGGTCCATAGATGAGGTCTACTTAGGGGACCGACTGATGGAAAAGGAATGCAGACAGGCACAGCATATGCTATCTGCAAAAATTCTCCAATCTGCTAGGGTTTACCCCACTAGCCACCCACAGGGTAGAGACCCCCGACCAACAACCTCTGCGGTAGACCCCGTACAGAATACCAGAGGTGGTTTGGGAAAGTAGGAGATGCTCCGACTAGGGGTAACCGAGCCGTCCAAGAGTCCTTGGGCCTCTCCATAAGTGCTAGTCCCAAAATGAGACAGAGCCACCCGGTTCTGTGTGGATTACAGGAGACTCAATCACAAGTCGTTCTCGGAAACGTACCCCATGTCCCATATTGACGAGCTATTGGATAGGATAGCTTGTGTAAAGTCGACATTCATGACCCCATTTGGCTTGTACCAATTTAAGGTAATGCTATTTGGGGTGAAGAATGCCCCGGCCCTTTCCACAGGATGGTGGACCAGCTGTTGGAAGGCCTCCAGGACTATGCCTGCACATACCTGGACGACACAGCTATATACAGCGACACTTGGGAGGAGCACCTGGTACATGTAGGAGCTGTAGTAGACCGGATTAGGGAGGCAGGATTAACCTTAAAACTCAGTAAGTGCCACATAGGGATGGCAGAAGTGCAGTACGTGGGAAACAGAAGCCAAAGCCAGCCAAGGTTGAGGCAGTAGCTAACTGGCCCCTTCCCCACATTAAGACCCAGATGATGGCCTTCCTAGGGACTGCTGGCTATAACAGGAAGTTTGTCCCCAATTACAGTGCCCTAGCTAGGCCCCTCACCGACTTGACCCGATAGAACCTGCCCAGACAGGTAAACTGGACCACAGAGTGTGAGCAGGCGTTCCATGCCCTTAAGAATGCCCTGATAAATGCCCCTGTCCTGGCTGCTCCTAATCCGCATAACTGTTTTCTCGTCCACACAGATTCTTCTATGTTTGGATTAGGAGCAGTGCTGAGCCAGGTCAGGGACGATGGCGGAGACCATCACGTAGTCTACCTCAGCACGAAACTACTACCTTGGGAGGTTAGCTACACCGCCATCGAAAAGGAGTGCCTGGCGGTGGTGTGGGCACTCAAAAAGCTGCAGCCCTAACTCTACGGGCAGCAGTTCACCTTACTCATGGATCACAACCCGTTGGTGTGGCTTAACCGAGTTGCAGGGGACAATGCCAGGCTGGTGAAGCCTGGCCCTAAAACCATATGACTTTTTACCATCCATTACAGGCCTGGTAAGCAAAACGGGTTGTCAAGACAGACAGAATTGGAGAAGTGATCCGTGAGCACTCCCCCGGACATCCCCAAGCCGCTGTTCGGGTGCTTTCCACTGGTATTGAGTGTTTTTCCCTGTGTTCCCCATGTATTTCTGTGAGTTTTTGTGTATTGTGCCTTGTTCCCCATTTGGTTCATACGAAAGAAACGCCTTCGTCTCCCGAATGAGGACCACCCCAATACCCCATTTAGAACACTAATTAGAACGTTCTCACCTCAACATAGTTGCGAAACCGCAAGGGAAGCAATTAATGAGCGCTTCTTTGGGTGGCCGCCATTTCGTATAGACGAATGCCCGCCAGGGGGATCGTTCGTGGATTGTTTCCTGACTCGTTTGTTTCCAGAACGAGGACCTCCCCAGTGCCCCATCAGAATGTTCACACCAATTAATCAGAATGTTCGCACTCACAACAAGTGTGAAACCACAAGGGAAGTAATTAATGAGTGCTCCCCTGGATGGCCGCCATTTTGTATAGCCGAATGCCAACCAGGGGGAGGATTGGTACCCCGAAAGGAGACCCTTCCCTTGCTGGGTTTCCACACAGGGACCTTGCAAGTGGAGACTGGCTGAGGAAGGTACTGCTGTGAGGGCCCCTGAGGTTGTTGTGGACTCTTGTGGGGCACTGGCTGGTTTGGTGGGCTTTTCTATGCCTGGGAGACAAAGGGATAGTCTCTTTTCCCATGCCTTGACTCCCAGGCACAGAGGCTCATGGGATGAAGACCCCCCTGTCATCCTCGGCGGGTAACCCCCTTGCCTGAGTGGCAGGCTTTACATATTTGGGAGACAAAGGAACAGTGATCCCCCAAGCATAAAGGATCCTGGGATAATCATGTGTGGCAATACAATTGTGTTGTACCTCCAGAACTGTGTGTCATCCAATAACTGGGGTGAAATGGGTTTCTATATATTCTAAAGTGGTTCCTGAGCAGATGAAGGAAGCTATTAGCGGAGGTAACTGGTCGGGTTACCCGGGGACCTCTATAGTGTTTTTTTTATTGATTTATTTTTAAGCTACTTAATGTGGCGGCAAGCTAGCTGATGTGTATAGCGGCCACATAATTAACCTTTGTGCTGCCGAGAGTTTTTATTCAGCAGGCAAATCGTTTTTTGCTTTTTTTTTTTTTTTTTTAAATCCTGACCTGGATTTTTAAATCCTGGCCTTCTGGTGGCTTTTGGTCCAGTTTAAATCCAGACCAAATTCTGGCCTGTTCAGGGCCTGAATTGCAAAAGCTTGACAATCTCTAGATTTTTCAGTCAAAATTACCCTCTGGTGATTTTGCACCATTTGGTTTGGCTCCATAGGACTTGGTGAATTACCCCATTAATTTAGAATTGCAGCCTGTTCCAGACAAATAATTGTGTCAGCCTGAATGTCTGTTTGAATTGTGGTAAATATGATGACTAATTATTTTGTGTAAATATAATACTTTGGCTTAGATCTACATGGCTTCAGTTACTTAGCTATGAGTAGATGATAAAATCACATACAATAAAGCTACGCCAGCATTTATGACTCAAATATCTAAAGGAAAAGTGTTCTTCTTTGGTCATTTGATATGTCTGTGGACTAGCCCACATACTTCCAAACAAACTGCAGTATCAGGGACCGACCAGGTTGCTATACCATGATAAGTATGGGGAAGTTTGCAATTGGCTGCAGGATGAGAAAATAAAGTTTTCAAAGCATTCATCACACACATAGGTTGTTGTTTTGGGAATGGTGTTCTGCGTTTCACTCTTCTGTCTTATTTCTAATGACTCTTAATTTTTTTTTCATTACTATAAATTTGGCCATTTGCTGAAATGAAAATTTTTGCAAAATCTTCTGGAATTTAGTATGACGTAAACTGTCACTTTTTATATGACTACAGATTAAATAGTTGAGTGAGACAGAGTTCCAATACTCTGAATGAGTACCCCTGCTAAGTCCACTCCCTTGCTGCCACAGGTGACTCTGGAGCACTTTAGACTCAGTCGCCAAAGCTTGACTGGGATCTCTCAGAAACTCTTCCACCCAACCAGGCTGCAGCTTTGTTCTTCCATGCAGGTATCGCCCCCTCTGCCTCTGCGTCTTCTGTTCCTCTCCCAGGCAGGTATCAACACTTCTACCTGCACTGTAATCTGCTACTACCTTTACAAAGGCACTTGTGGCTCTCAGGCCTAGCTCTTTTGATTTTTCCTCGGATCCGAGGACCAAGCAGTTAGCCAACAGGTCTGAAGACATTGTAAATAACCAGGACACCCAGTTCCAAAAGGAACTAACACACAATTCTTTATTTTTGGACAAGGACTAGACTTTGGGTACTTGTTCTTAAACATGTGGTGACAAGTATTAACAATTATTTGATAAGCATTTGAACTACAAATATACAAAACATTATTTAACGAGCAATTCTAATTAATACATGAACTATAAAATACAAGTAACATTTTCAAATACAAAAAAGCAGCAATGTATGCATTTAACTACGTATTTGGTTGCCCTAATTTGCATAGAAGCATTATTTAAATTTACACACTTCTATTCTTTCAGCAGAGGGCGCTGCAGAGTTATCAAGTCACAATGAATAATTTGTATATCAATTGCTACAGTCACAGGGCCCCCTTCCGGGGCTCTTGGTTCCAGGCCCATAGTCTGTGGGCACGAGGCAGGCCTTCAAGCCTCTCCGAAGGGCCGTGGCATGGGAGCTTCTGTCACAGTGAGTATACCACCTCATGCTGTATGAGTCCATACTGATGGAGATTTAGTGAAATAACTAATGTAACATCTTGTTACTCCAGCGTGAGTAGGACAATTCTCACAGAGATCTGGAAGTTTTGTGCGCATAGAATGACATTTGTTTCTACCTGACATCAGGACTTAAAGTGGCATTTACTTTATTACTGCATTTGTAAAGTGATGTTCAACAGGCATCTACAGACACCTCCATAAACATGGCCGATAAAACGCTATATTCTTTGAAAGCAATACATTTTATCTATTCAGGGTTTTTTTTTTCTAACTCCTAAATCTCAGACTGGGAAATGGCTCCCATGAGAGTTAAATTATCTATAACAACTTTTAATATTTAGTGGAAAAAATAACATTAATGCTATGTTTACTTCTCAAGGACATTAACAAGGAAACGATAGTCTGCCACCCATTTAACCACTAGGTGACAATAAGGTACTTTTTGGGAAAATATGTTGGACAAATTCCGATTCTTATGAAAAATTACAAGTTTTGAAAACAAGTTGCTTAAAACACTGAAAATAATTACAGCTTTTGAAATTATAGGGTTGGCTTTTCTAGTCCACAAAACACTATGCTATGTCTTGACCAACCGCAATAAGAAAAACATAAAGTACTCAGTGCGACTTGTGTTTCCTTATTTAATTTTGGTAACTGTCCTTGTAAAGCACAGATGGTTTCTGTGGTTTCTAAAGGCCCTTTTTGATACATCCCGGTTTTAAAAAAAATTACATAAAAAGTAGGGCTGCACTGATCTAAAACACACAGATTGTAAACTAAAGCAGAATTGTTACTGTAAGAGCTGAGAATATCCAGTCTCCCTCTAGTCGGTGGTTCTTTCTGCATAGCTGAGTGAGTCACATGACAAACTGCACGTCTCAGGCAGTCATTGCTAACACAGTGTCTGTTAGCTGCCCAGATGGATTCATGACTCAGCTGTTTAATAATTTCACAAAGTATAACAAAGAGTCATAAAGCCAACAGGTGTGTCCTTTAGTGATGACTAATGTTTCATTATAAATATTTGGCTGAGAGATAGAGGGATAGACAGACAGGAAGACAGACATACAGCTAGATGGATAGACAGAAGTATAGACAGACAGACAAACTGAGAGACAGACAACTAACTAGAATTATAAACAGACAGTTTGATGGATAGACAGATGTTGTTGGTGCTGCGTCTCATCCAATAAACCTGACCTGGGCCTTATACCTGTGCACTATCCTTCTTTGGGTTTATACTCCATGTAAACTGGTGGCACGGTTTAAATCGTTTTATGTGACTACAGACATGTAATTTTGACTACATAAACAGACATGGAAGTAGCGTTCCTCATCTTGCTTGATGCTAAAACGATGCAGAGACACTTTTGTTAGATGGTGTTGCAATATGGTGAAACTAGACAGGACAACCTCTATCATTACTGAATAGTGCACAGTGTCGCATCAAGCAGAATATTGACACCAATGTGAAGTGAATAACCTGACGGGGGGCATGCAGAGATACCCTGTCAGGGTCTTTTCAGACCCTGAGGTCTGTCTCTGAGAGCATGCAGCACAAGAATTACAGCGGCTGAGAGTCATCATTTAAGAGTGGCTGTATGCTCCGCTTGAAAAGAGCTCTCCATACAGGATATCAGTCAGTCTGAGGAGTTGCTTGGTAAAACACTGACATATGTGTCTCCCTTGCGTGAGCAGGGATTTAAGGCTGCTCACATCAGAACTAGGATGTTCCATAGCCTCCTAATGGCATTAAATCCCAGTATTCTTAGAATGTAATGGAAGATCCAAAAGTCGTTAAAGGATTAAAATTACTTTTTACTTTTGTTCAGTTTAGTTTATTAAAAGTTGTAATTTTTCTCACTTTTCTTCCCTATTTTTTTGCAGGGCTTATGTCCTTTTTAATGTTTATTGCTTTTTATATGTAAAATGACACAGAGGGGGGTGACTAAGGGTTTGGGGACCCCTAGTCACCTGGGGGGTTAAATTTTTATTTAGGGTCCCTACCCGCCACGCAGGGGTGGGGGCCAGGGGGGAGGACAGTAGGCTCCCCTCCCCCCAATTTTTATTTATGGCCCCCACCCACCGCTCAGGGGTGGGGTACAGGGGGGGAAGACAGTAGGTCCCCCACTTATTGTTATTTAGGGCCCCCACCCACCGCACAGGGGTGGGGGCCGGCGGGCAGGACAGTAGCTCCCCCCCTTATTGTTATTTAGGGCCCCCAACCACCGCACAGGGGTGGAGGCCAGGGGGAGGACAATATGTCCCCCCCCTTACTGGTATTTAGGGCCCCTACCCGCCGCTCAGGGGTGGGGGTCGGGGGGGCAATAGGTCCCCCCTTTAGTTTAAAAGCCCCCACTCGCATGTCGCGGGTGGGGGCTCAGGAGGGAGGAATGTTTTGGGGTTTTTTAACAGTGAGCAGCCACAGGCTGCTCACTGTTTAATAGACATGTCCCTACTCACAGTATAGCGAGTAGGGGTATAATTTAATAATACTAAGTAACCAGCTTATATAGAGGTTGGGTCACATGCTGCACTGGCCAATCACAGCCATGCCATTAGTAGGCATGGCTGTGATGGCTTCTAAGGGCACACGAGTTAAACGCTTGTTGAACGCGTCATTAAATCGCCAAACATACAGTAATATGTCCGTGTTCGTGTCCGGGGTCCAAAAAACGTAATGTTTTGCGGTTCGGGTTCGCTCAACTCTAGTTAAGATCCTTTAACCTGTCCTTGTAAGTTTTATCCTGCACTCCATGCACCAGTTTAGTAGCCCTTCTCTGAACAACCAAGCATTCTGCTAGCATTTCCTGTTGCTCTATTACATTGTCTTTGGAGCTGATAGCACTGATTCATTCCCCCCCCCTCACCCCCCCTTTTTTTTCTATTACACATTCTGCCTACCTTTGTGTCATCTGAAATAATTACTCCTAAATCCTGTTCCTCGGATGTTTAAAACAGAATGGGGTCACATGTATCCTTGGATCAAGGGGGCTCCATTTATACAGAAACAGCTAACATTTTGCCAAAACAAAGGTGTGACTGTGATCAATCTCCCCCAAAGAATAATAAATGTACATACCTTCTCTCTGTCTTTATCAAGTGGTGGTACATGATCTAATAATTTCACAGGGTCAGATTGTGCACAGTTATTTTATGGTCTGCCTTTAATTCTATTATTTACATTCAGTGGGTATTTTTTTTTTTAAAATCATTATTAAAATACATGTTATTTACTAATATGTGGCCCAGGCTGATCTCCTACCTTAACTCACCTCTTACTCATCAATTTTGGCACATGTTTTGTCCTGACATAAGTGTTTAATTATCCAGAATAGTTATGTCATCCAGGACAAAACATCTCAAAAGTATCTGTGCACACACGTTATAGTAAAAGGTGATACAAAGCAGGGAGTGTAATACAGACATGGACAGCAAAACTCTCGTTCTCCAATAAATACATTTAAAAAATTAAAGGCGTAGAATTGGCAGTGTTTATAGTGTATGGTTTACACACCTCTGGCTGTCTTCCTCACAGTTACTAGAGGCACTTACCAGACACTGTAATTCAATCAAATACATATACATTGAAATTGGCGCCAGTGTCAGTTTTGTCGACTAACAATTTTGAGATTTAGTCGACTAAAACTAGAACAATTCAGATGACTAAAATGGCGTTTTAGTCAAAAGATTATGACTAAAACTGAATTGAAATTTGCCACCAAAATTAACATTGCACAGAGGGGCTGTGGAAGGGGAAAAGAGACCAAAGTTTGGGAAAGAGACACCTAGAGGTGGTGTGAGGACACAAAGAACACAGAGGGGCAAAAGAGACAGATTGTGGCTTTATCTAAACCCATTAAATTTTAGTCGTGTCAACTAAAATCTACTGGAAATTTAGTCGACCTAAACTAAAACAAAAACAGTTCAGATGACTAAAACTTGACTAAAACCAATTTGAATGTGCCGCCAAAATTAGCACTGCTTCGCCCCAGGAATTTACCTCCCTACAAACAAAAGGTATGAAAGCTGGGGGTGGTCAACAAATGTAAATTGCAATTTGTGTGTTTGTCTATGTGTATGTTTAGGTATGTGTGCATCTGTGTGTATCTCTGCATATTAGTGTGTATCTGTGTATAGGTATGTGTGTATCTGAGTCTGTTAGTGTGTATCTGTGTAGGACAAGTTATGAGTGTATTTGTGTGTATGTATGTGTAGTTATGTCCAGGGGTGGATCCAAGACAATAGGTCCCCCCTATTCTAATTTAGGGCCCCCACCCACTGCTCAGGGGTGGGGGACGGGGGGAGGACAATAGGTCCCCCCCCCTTATTCTAATTTAGGGCCCCCACCGCTCAGGGGTGGGGGCAAGGGGGGAGGACAATAGGTGTCCCCCCCTTGTTGGTATTTAGGGCACCCACCCGCCGCTCAGGGGTGGGGGCCAGGGGGGAGGACAATTTAGGGCCCCCACCTGCCGCTCAGGGCAGAGGTGGGGGCTCGGGAGGGGGGGACACTTGGAGTTTTTTTTGTTTCTTTTCTTAACAGTGAACAGCCACTTAGTATTAGTAAATTTTACTGAAAGACCAATTTAGGTCTTTCAGCCTTTTGGTAGATAGCTCCCTAGTACCGTGGGAATTAGGGAGTTATCTACTAATTGGCTGCAAGAGAAAATATCCAACGTTTTGAAGTCCCAAGTTTCAGAATGCCAAACAGAATATTTTGCCCATGCACATCCCTAAATATTTTTCTCTTTTTATTTATTTATTTTTTTCTTCTTTTTTCATATAAAGTACAGAAGGAACTTTTGAAAATCCTCTACACCTTCTATAATACCTGTACATATTGCAACACTAATATATGAGGTGCAGTGCTTTCAGCTGATTATTATCTAATATATCAGGTGCAGTGCTTTCAGCTGATTATTATCTAAGCATCTAAATATACTGAGAGCTAGTAACAGTTTTGGCTTCTTTAAATATCTGAACAGATACCTGTCAAATTTAATTATTGCTAAATCCTTATTACAATAACAAGAATTTATTTTTTAAGGGATATAGAGAAAAGAGATGAAAGAAACTTTTTTGATTGAGATTCTTCAAATCATTGCAGCCAATATCCTACAGGATAGCCGCACTATATATCAATTAAAACCTTCAATGGTATCTGCACATATTGAAACAAGATTTTGTCTCCTTGGATCTAACACTCAGAATCTAACATATCAGGTGCATTGCTTCCAACTGATTATTACTGAAGCATCTGATTTATATTGAAAGCTTGTAACAGTCTGGTTTCCTTAAATATCTGAACAGATAGCTGTCTAATTTAATCATCGCTAAATCCCTACTACAACACCAAGAATTTAAGGGATATGGAGAAAAGCAAGGAAAGAAATTCTTGACTGAGATTTTTTAAAAGCTAATGTCCTAACAAGATAACTGTGTTATACATCGATCAAAATATTATCTGATATCTCAAATTTAATAGAAAAAATTAATTGCAGATATCGCCATTTTCGATATATATGTAACACTACTTCAATTGCCCCAATCACATTTATTTTAAAAGGAAGATGGGGAGAAATAAAATAGAAAGAGTGACCTCTTTGGAAGCCATAGCAGATCCTGATTTTTGTTTTTCCAAAATTTTGATTCTTTGGAAAATTGTTTCTTACCTTCCATTTTCTCCATTTAAGTAATTACAATGGGGCACAAGAAGGACAAAGAAAAGAGAAGTATATGGTCTGAAAAAAATAAACCAATTCATACTTATTACTCACCTAAGACCAGCTCATCTGTTCAGCTGAACCAACGAAGATCCTTGAACATTGATACAAACGAACTTAAAGGAACACAGATATCTGACCAATCAGAAGAAGAAGTTCATTCTCCAGAACGGCCCCTTGCACATAAAACCATTTCAAGCTTACTGGACAACTTATATTTTAAAATCAAACAAGGTTTCGAATTTAACATGGTATTCCCAAAAAATTCTACCTGATCAGCTTGAGACTTATTTAGAAGAACTTTTTGTAACTTATGTTACTTCTCAAATTCTCAGAATAAATCCCTTTGACAGATACCACAGGATCTATAAATCAAAAGAAGTCAACAATGCACTTCCTAGAGACGTTAGTTAGATAGTTAGATTCTCTCGTAGTTCTGTAAAGGAGCTAATCACGAAAGAAGCAAGAACAAATCCCACAAAAGATGAGCAATATAAAGAAACACGGCTGTTTCCGGACCCCAATTCTCTGTAACAAGGGAATTAAATACAGATGGCTCTTTCCTCCAGTAATACGCTTTTTCTATGAGAACACTGGCGGATCCAGGGGGGGGGCAACGAAGTAATTGCCCCCCCCCGAGATTCTCCCCTGCCGGCTAATGCAGGGCTGGCATTGTCCAAGTGACAGCCCTGCAATGTGCCTGCGGACTGGAGGGGAGCCGGCAGGGGAGGGAGAAAGGACCCGGGAGCTCCGTCTGCAGCTCCTCCAGGTCCTCCTCTCGCGAGCATGGAGCGTTGCGGCGGTTACCACGGCAACGCTCCAAATCTCGCAAGAGTGAACTCTCTAGCCCAGGAGGGCGGGCTAGAGTTCACTCTGACCACTGGGCCACCAGGGATCGAAATATGTCCCCCCTCCTCCCAGTAAAGGTAAGAAGGGAGGGAGGACATACATTTATTTACTTTTATACATTATTTATTTTTATCAAAAAGCCCCCTTACCCTCCTAACCACAGATTCACACATTGCCCCCCATAAACAGCCCACACACACTGCCCCCCATAAACAGCCCACACACACACACTGCCCCCATACACACACACACTGCCGCCACACACACACTGCCCCCACACACACACACACCTCCCGCCCACCATATATACACTGCCACCATACACACACTGCCCCTACACACACACTGCCGCCATACACACACTGCCCCCCACACACATACACACTGCCCCCCCACACACACACACACACTGGTCCGGGTGATACACACACTTCCTACCATACACACACTCCTCCTTCCTACCCACCATATATACACTGGCCACCATACACACACTGCCCCATACACACACCTCCTGCCCCCCATACACACACTGCCCCCATACACACACACACTGCCCCTATACAAAACACACACTGCCCCCCATACACACACTGCCCCCATACACACAAACTGCCCCCCTTACACACATACTGCCCCCATACACACATCCTGCCCCCCCATAATCACACATCATGTCCCCCATAATCACACATACTGCCCCCATACACACACTGCCCCTATACACACATATTGCCCCCCATACACACACTGCTCCCATACACACAAACACACTGCTCCCATACACACACACACTGCTCCCATACACACACACTGCCCCTCATACTCACATACTGACCCCCATATACACACACAGCCCCCGACACACACACTCTACTCCCCATACACACACTACCCCCATACACACACCATCCCCCATACACACACCATCCCCCATACACACATATTTGTCACCATACACACACACTGCCCCGCTTACGCATGCACTGCCCCCATACCCATAGATATACTGCCCCATACACACATACTGCCCCCATACACATACTGCCCCCCATACACATACAAGCCCCCCCCATGCACATACTGCCCCCCATGCACACACACTGCCCCCCCATACACACACTGCCTATACACACACACATCACTCCTGCCCCCCATACACACTGCCCCCCTATACACACACTGCCCCCCAAGTACACACTGCCCCTATACACACTGCCCCCTATACACACACTGCCCCCATACAATATACTGCCCCCCATACACACATACTGCCCCCATACACATACTGCCCCCATAGACATACTGCTCCCCATATAGACATATACTTCCCCTATAGACATATACATACTTTCCCCATAGACATACTGCCCCATACACATACACTGCCCCCATAGATATACTGCCCCATACACATGCACTGCCCCCCATACACACACTGCCCACCCATATACACACACTGCCGCCCCATACACACACTGCCCCCACACACACACATACACTGTAAGTTGTCAAACTGTTCTTAAACGGTTTGACTACTTACTCTGGGAGGGATTCCCGGCACCATAACCACTACACGGAGCTGTAGTGGTTATTGTGCATGGATTATTTCTTTAAATAATATAAAAGTGCCCCTCCCGAGATCAGTCTCTGGATCCGCCACTGTATGAGAATGAATGTTATTATTTTAAGTCTCCTTCTGAGCTAATGGACAAACTACGACTTTGGAATTTAGTAAATTGAGATTCTCTCTTTTTTTCTCTTTCTTTTTGCTTCATCCCTCCATCTTATCCCTTTTTATTTATTTTTATGGGGGGTTTTTTGTTTGTTTGTTTTTTTTATATATATTTTGTTCTGTCTACTAACATTTATGACACCTAATTAATTTCGGCTAGGTGCATAAATGTGAATATCAGACCGCAAGTCTACTAGAATAATTCAACATATGACACATGCTGCAAGTAGGTGTGTGTGTGTGTGTGTGTATATATGTATGTGTGTGTGTGTGTGTGTATATGTGTATGTGTGTGTGTGTGTGTGTGTGTGTGTGTATATATATATATATATATATATATATATACATACATAGTTAGATGTCTGATCGTATATTTATCTATTTATTACTGCTCAAAATTTGATAGACATGGTATATGACCAAAAACCCATAATGTAAAGAAATGAACTTTATCTTAAAATGAATAACGTAGGAAAGGGCACACCATGTGCGTGCAAAGCCGTGGGTATGCACTGTGGACATCTGTATATTCATGCAAGTGCATCTTTACTTTTGAGATGGCTAAACTATGTGATTGTATGAGTATATGTGTGCACATACGTGTGTGTGTGTGTGTGTGTGTGTGTGTATAAATGTTTCACGTTCCACTTTTTGTAGATTTGGATGCTGTCTAATCTGTAAACAGTTCTCTATATTGTGGCCAGAGATTGTATTTTTGAAGTCTGAGATTTGTAAATTATCCAGTAAATGAACTCAGGCTGGAACTGTTGCAAAGCCACTGCCGCAGAGACGTCCTAGGAATGGCAGATGGATTACTGTAGGATCTGGTAGACTTAGAGTTGTGGATAAAAGGCATATTGTACAGTCTGTTGCTCTACGTAAATAATTTTCAGCACTTTCAGAGTGTAATGGTGTTATGAAGACAGGCTCAGGCACCAAGTGTAGTGGTGTTGTGGAGACAGGCACAGAGTGTAGTGGTTTTGTAGAGACTGGCTCAGGCACAGAGTATAGTGGTATTCTGTAGACAGGCTCAGACACTATGGTGAGGCCTGATAGAAAGCAGTTGTTGTTGGGGGATTCTATCATAAGAGGTGTGGAGCTGGACAATAGTGGTCTCGTGAGATGTCTTCCTAGAGCTACTGCTCACAAAGACAGGAGATGTATTTGTAATATTGTTAAGCGTGCAAAGCCAGAAGGGGAATTGGATGTACTTATCCATCTTGGGACAAATGACTTGGCTTGCAATGAGGTTTCAGAGGTAAAGGAAGTTAGAATGGTCGGGTTATGCAAAAAGGGATAGTAATAACACGAGCCGAGGTCAAGGGAAATAGAGAGACGGAATAATGAGAGACAAAGCCAAATATCAGTAACCAGGAAATTCAAATAACAAGTGCAATGCTCAATGGTAAACCAAAGACCAGAACAGGGCACTGAGGCAAGGGAGAGATTACCTTATATACACACAGGGTGTGTCTGATTGGCTAATCTCCAATTAGTGTTAACTACAACATGTGGGAGGAGTTTCTTCCCTCCCTTGTGGTCTCTGAGGTCATCACTGTGTGCCGGGTCACATGACCAGGTGCAGCACACATATAAGGAAGCTGCTCTGGAGCATGCAGGGTCAGACACACTGCCAGTCTGGAGACAGGGAAAATGAAGGAAAGGGGCCTCAGTTAGGAAAAAGGACAAATGAGTCAATGGGGCCTGATGGAATACACCCAAAGTTATTAAAAGAGCTTAGTGGTGTACTAGCAAAATCATTAGCCACGACTTGCGCACTTACATCTCCTGTTCGGTACTACAGTCCCCATTCTACACTGCGGCTGTAAAACACAATGTGTCTCTTCAATTAACTCACACACTACTCATTTTAAACTTACCTATGTATATTCTATATTCCTATTATGTGATTTCAAAATATTATTGGTTTGGTTAAAGTTTTTAGAATTAAAGTATGTTTTGTTTTTTTCTATGCTGCTCACTGATTGGCTGCCGGAGTATGACGTCACTTTGGCACAATTTTCAACTATTTTTCAATCATTAGGGCACCTACATATACTTGATAAGTCAGGATGTTTGTCTGACTCCATTTGATGAAGCATTAGGCGAAACGCATTATTGGATGTTTTATTTACTTTTGTATTTTAACCCCTTAAGACCGGAGGGCGTACTATTACGTCCTATTTTAGGCGGCCGTAAACGCCGCCGGGCGTAATAATAGAAAGCCCTCAGGTCTTTCCTTACTTACCCGGAGCCCCCCCGCGGCAGATCTTCCTCCTCCGGTCCCCCCCGGCCATGTGAGAGTGAGGTCCTTGCGAGGACCTCACAATCACATGGCCGGGTTAGCTGGCTGCAGCATTGCCAGCAGGGGGACTACCTGTAATGACAGGTGGTCCCCCTGCTGGCTGGAAATAAATTAAATTAATAAAGTGTAAAAAACAAAAAAAATATATATATATATATATATATATATATATATATATATATATATATATATATATATATATATATATATATATATATATATACTTAGATTATATATATATATATACACACACGTGCACTGTATAGGTGTATTTTACTATTAAAATATATATATATATTAATATCAAATTAAACGTAGACTGATACTGATTATATATATATATATATATATATATATATATATATATATATATATATATATATATATATATATATATATATAATTATTGTTATATATATATATATATAATATAAAAAAATTAAATATGTAAATACGTTATAAAATAAAAAATAAAAAAATTTAAAAATATATAGATGTGTGATATTAATATATTTATATCAAAATACACGTAGAACGAAATATTATATATATCTATATACATAAATATATACGTATATATCACTATATATATATATATATATATATACCTATGTATAAATAAAAATATTTAAAAAAAATTATATATATATATATACATATATTAATTCTACATATATATTTATGTAATATTTTTACATAATTGGGTATCTTAATTAATTACAATTAGCGGGACCTGCCTGACAACCCATGCCGAAAGTAAAGGGAATTTAATTTGCTAGCACTATATTTAACCCTATAACTTTCCAAGACACCATAAAACCTGTACATGGGGGGTACTGTTCTACTCGGGAGACTTCGCTGAACACAAATATTAGTGTTTCAAAACAGTAAAATGTATTACAACGATGATATCACCAGTAAAAGTGAAGTTTTTTCAATTTTTCACGCACAAACAGCACTTACATGGACGATATTATTGCTGCAATACTTTTTACTGTTTTGAAACACAAATATTTGTGTTCAGCTAAGTCTCCCGAGTACAACAGTACCCCTCATGTACAGGTTTTATGGTGTTTTAAAAAGTTACAGCGTCAAATATAAGGCTTGTGTTTCATTTTTTTCACATTAAAATTTGCCAGATTGGGTACGTTGCCTTTGAGATCCTATGGTAGCCCAAGAATGAAAATTACCCCTATGATGGCATACCATTTGCAATAGTAGACAACCCAAGGTATTGCAAACGGGGTATGTCCAGTCTTTTTTAGTAGCCACTCATGTAGCCACTCAGTAGTCACAAACACTGGCCAAAATTGGCGTTTTTTGCATTTTTCACACACAAACAAATACTAACGCTAACTTTGGCCAGTGTTTGTGACCAAATGGCTACTAAAAAAGACTGGACATACCCCATTTGCTATACCTTGGGTTGTCTACTATTGCAAATGGTATGCCATTATGGGTGTAAATTTCATTCCTGGGCTACTATACAGTCTCAAAGGCAACGTAACCAATCTGGCGAATTTCAATTTCAAATGTAACGTGCTATATTTGACCCTGTAACTTCCCAAAACGCCATAAAACCTGTACATAGGGGGTACTGTTTTACACGTGAGACTTTGCTGAATACAAATATGTGTATTTTATTGCAGTAAAAGCAAACAGTATTATGACATTGACAGTTAAAATGTCATGTAGAACTAAAAAAATTAAGAAATTCTTATTTTCTCCCATTTTCTTCATAATAAATTATGTTTCATAGCTAAATATTTGATATTAAATGAAAGCCCTTTTTCCCCTGAATAAAATGATATATAATAAGGGTGGGTGCATTTAATATGAAAGAGGTGAATTACGGTTGGACAGACATGTAGCGCAAATGCCAGGTTTTGTTTACATTTTGTTTCATTCACAACGTGTACATTTGGCTCCGTCCTTAAGGGGTTAAATAAAGGAATTATTTTGGACAATACACCAAGGTTTGTGCCAAATTCCTTTTACCGTTTTATTGAATTTTAAATTTTTTTTTTTTTTTTTTTTAAATCATACCTGGCTTTTTACCATTACTCCAAAGATATCCTAGGTGTGGATCATACCACCAAAGCTGATTCCATAGAGCAGTTGGCCTGCTCTATACTTTGTTAGTATATATTTTAATATATTTCTTGATACATTGGTTTTATCTACTGAGAGCACTATTGTCGCTTCCTCACCTTTTACTGTCATTTTAGTTCCAGCTGCCATTTGAAGCTCCTAGGACTGATGGCACTCACATTATACCATGGTAATATTAGAACAGGTAAACTATTAACTAAAAGATTACAATTTAACTCAAAAAGTAAGATCATAAAAAAGATCTTGGTAGTTGATGGTACCACATACTTAACCACCTAGGATATAACTAAAACATGTTTAGAATATTATAAATCCTTATATAACTTACAAAATATCCCTCCAACATCACAAGCCATTGTTGATTTTCTCAAACGACTTAATCTTCCGAAGATTACACAATCTAAACTAGATATGTTGAATAGCCCCTTTACAATAGCTGAGATTACTGATTCAATCAAAAAACTAGAATTGGGTAAGGCACCTGGCCCAGACGGCTTTACAGCCCTCTTATATAAAAAAATTTGATACTCTAGTTGCTCCTCTATTATTAAAAACTTTTATTGAAATGTCTAATAATAAAATAATACCACATGAGATGTTACAAGCCTTTAATAATCCCAATATTAAAACTAGGTAAGGACCCTTCAGCAACTTCAAATTATAGGTCCATTTTCTTCATAAATACTGATGTAAAAATATGTTGAAATTTAGGTAGATCGTTTGAGCATGGTGATGCCTAGTCTGGTTCATGGTGACCAATCTGGATTCGTGAGGGGAAGGAGCACAACTGACAATATTCGTAGAATACTCAATTTTTTTACACAGACTAAATTTACAACAAATTAGTTCAGCCTTGGATGCCGAGAAGACTTTTGAAAGGGTCAGCTGGGACTTCCTTGACCTGGTTCTCGAGAAAAACATTATCAGAACTTTTAAGAGTAATATCATGAGCCTATATTCAGATCCCAGTGCAAGGGTTATTGGCCCCAATTTTGTATCAGACAGCTTTTCAATCCGTAATGGCACTAGACAGGGGTGTCCGTTGGCACCTCTGCTGTATATACTAACAATTGCTATAATGATGAGGACATTGACACAGGTCAAAGGAGTCCCAGTTGGCCCTGTAGAACATAAGATAACACTGACGATGTGCTCCTTTCCCTTACAGATCCATTGGTCTCGATTCCTGCTACTTTAAGACTAATTGACCAATATAATATATTTTCTACAATCAACCTACATAAAACACAGATCTTGACAGCTTTGGCACACAAGGTAGAGATGGACGAGTTAAAGAATTGACATAATTTCAATTGGAACAATATGTTTATAGATTACTTGGGCATTAAATTGAGCTTCGATTTTAAAGCCTTACTTGAACAAAACCATACAGATCAGTTAAAATTAATTTAAGAGTTACTGATCAAATGGAAAGGATTAAAAATATTGTGGCTAGGAAGAATCAACCTAATAAAAGCCTATATAGTACCAAAAGTACTTTATCTAGTAAGATCCACCCCCTTAGAGTTAATTCAACTATACATACAAAAAAATATTCTCTGATTTTATATGGATGTGGCAAAGGCCTAGAATATCAAATACAATTTTAACTTTACAAAAGAATAAGGGAGGGGTATCTTTTCCAGACCTGATTACCTTACATGAAGCATGTATGCTTACACATGTACTATCTTGGACTGTCCAAGGCTATTATGATATAACCTGGTTTGAAATGGAGCGCCTAGACTGCCTACCATATTTTTCTTCTAATATCATATGGTCTGAGACAAGACATCTTAATCTTTGTCAAATTTCTAACCCCAATATAATGGATTCTTTGATTAATATAAAAAAATAAAGAAAAAAATGGGTATAACTAATAATCTGCTTTTAAAGACACCATTAGAGGTTTTACAATATATCGTTGATCTAAACCTTACCTCATGGATTTAGAATGGTTTAATTTACTTACCAGACATAGTTAATCAATATAAGATAAATACCTTCTCACAGCTACAGACCCAATGTGGTTTATCGAATAATCAATTGGTCACTTATCTCAGATTAAAAAGTTTTCTCTTATCTAGATATATTTCACCAAATCCTATTCTTGAAGATTTTATATTAAATTCAAGGGAAAAATGACAGATGTCCAGATCAATAAAATTATTAAATAGTATGGAAATTATGTCTAAATCTGCCCCTATTCTTAAATGGGAAAAAGATCTGAATAGTACCTTCTCACTGGAGGAATGGATTACTGGAATAGTTCTCGTCACTAGCAATATTCATTACATAACACTTGAGGAACTACACTATAAACTAATCTATCGTTGGTATTTGGTTCCCCAACTAATGCATAGAATTTCTATCATTCAAATCTTTGTTGGAGATGTCTATCAGATATAGGTACTATTTATCATATTTGGTGGGATTGCATACTGCTGAACGTATTAAAAACAAGCCTATGCAATGTACTCAAAAATATGTTCCCAAATATTCATACTATTTCTCCACAAATGCTTCTGTTTAATATTGATCTTCCTACTGGTAATAAAATACAAAAGAACGTAATTGTTCATATCTTAATGGCCACTAAGATATGTGTGGCAAGACCATGGAAAAAAATAGAACCATTGAGCTGGTTGGAAGTAAATAACCAATTAGAATTTCAATGCAGAATGGAATATGGATTTTATTAATCGAAAGGGGAATTAGATAAGTATAGAGAAATTTTGCATCCCTGGACACGTATAAGGATTCTCAATAAATTATAAACTGAATGACTTCAGGACTCCACCCCTCAGACCAGCCGGCCCACTGATCCTCGCAACCCCAAAGGGACACGTTTTATTTTTTTCTTCTGGTTTTTTTTTTTTTTCCCCTTTCTCTTCCTTGAATGAATGAAGTATGAAAGGAATATCCTTATGTTCAAGTAAAATTATCCAATTGATCTAATAACTAAAGACCATTAATTTGAATGTAACAATGTATTTTTATCCTTATCTATGTTGTATAATTATAACTGTAATAAGACTAATATTTTATATTTGTAACAAGTTAAATATTTTTTGAAATAAAGAGATATAAAAAAAAAAAAAGAAGAAATGCGTCCGGCCATGCTGAGTGTCAGGCCAGCCCTACCGCCCTACCCTCCTCCCCAGCAGTAGGTTTTTAGTACTGATGCAGTGGCTATTTAAGTGCAAGCTCACATGACCCATCAACAAAGCAAAACTCTTAGGTGAGTCCTACACTAACAGTTGGAATAGTGCGTTGCTAATTAATTATTTTATTTTGGGGGGACTTTTATTCTATGTATTTTAGATGGTGAATACTATATGCATTGCAGGAGCAGTGAGAGTTTGAGCACAGGGCTTATTTTTGTGCATTTATACATTTCACCACAAAACAACCCAATCTTTGCTCTACAGTCTTTTTTGCTGTATTTGAGCAAACCTTTTGGTGTCCCAGGTGTTGACTCCCACCATCAGCAATTTGCTTGTCTGAGAATGATGAAAACATTGAGAAACTGCAGTTCTCACAAAGGTTAGGGGAGAAATCTGTACTTATTCAAAGTTCACGATTTCGGGTCACTTCCCAGTAGAGTCAGCTCAGCATTTAATATTTCCAAGATCAATAAAATGAGTCCTATTATGAATATTAAAATCAATACTCTCTAGGACATGCTTATATGCAAAATGTACTATACCATTATTTCCAGCTGAATAACTCTATGGTATATAAAACCACTAGAGTACAATTGGAAGCATGAGTAATGCAAGTGCTAAAGATGTTATGAATAACATACCTATGGCCGCCTTGTATTTACTGATCAACCATTTTCCTACTATAAGCTGCATGAATTATGTAGTTACCTCTCTAACATAGTAAAAGGTTTTTTTGTAATACAACTGAAGAGCAATCTGTGAAAGTCATTCTTTTTAGCTATTATTATTTGCTATTCAATTAACATGCAATTGTAAATATTTAATATCATTCTCTGCCTGTAACTTAACATTAAAATACCTCTCCCTTCTAGAACAATACTAAATAGCTTTTTCAGATTTGATTTTTTTTTTTTTTTTACTGAGATTTTCATATTGTAAAGTAGCACTGGTTACTTACAAACGGCTCTATCTTAAAATGGGTTACGGGAGGAAAACACAAGCGGTGTCCCAAGGAAATTACACCATTATCTTTGGTTGTAAAGTGAATGAGTGAGGTTAGCACTTCATCCTGACACAGCTGACATTTGGTGGTTTAATGAGTATCTATATGAAAAAAGCGAAGGCATGAAAGAGTTTTCAAAAATAATCAATGAGCAGAAAGTGTGTTTATTGAGCAGAGATGGTGCACATTTCAAAATACAAATATTTTTAATGAAATTACTAATATTTTTTGAGATAATTTGATGTTCTGTTATTGGAAATAGGGCATTTTATGGACCAAAATGTGATGATGTCATGTAATATCACTGGCATTAATTTAAGGTAAAGGGACACTAGGTCTTATAACTACCGTATTTACTTGAATCTAATATGCCATTTAATCTAATGCGCACCTCAATTTTTGAAACCTGGAAGCTGAAAAAATTTTTTGCTGGCAAATGTAATGCGCATTTACAACAATGAAAATGTTTATTGCCATATACCATAGTAACATTGATGGTATTTCAATTTTAGTGATACATGTTAAGTCTATTTTTTCTTAAGCTCTATTTCAGGAACAATATTTGCCTGTGTGAATTCGCCGAAATGAAATTCACCTGTGTGACATAAACTGGGACAGAGGGACTAGTAGTTCAGATTAAATGATAGATACCACAGGTGGTGGTTCAACCTTGAAAAGGGAGAACCAAACCACCCGTGGAGTCAAAAAACACCCCTTAACGGACACTCCAGAGGTGTCCTGGGGCTTAACCCCTAAATTTCAATCAAAAAGACTCAAGTTACTGGAAATAACAATCCAGTGGTTCGAGTATAAACTGGAACTATAATGATAAAGGTTCAATCTTTGTATTTAAGCAATTTCTTACAGATTGAACCTTTATCATTATAGTTCCAGTTTATACTCGAACCACTGGATTGTTATATCCAGTAACTTGGTTCTTTTGGACTAGTAGTTCAGCAAAGGGAATTAGGTTTTTGAACTTGTTAAATGACACCTTCGTGTCACAACTTCATGTACAAGCACCAACTAGAAAGGACGCTTGTCTGGACCTGGTTCTAACAAACGTTGATCTTTTGACCAACATTCAAGTAATTGAGAACTTGGGAAATAGTGATCACAAAATAGTGACCCTTGAAATACACTCAAAAATACATAGGGTATACTAAAACATATAATTTTAAAAAGGCCAATTTTAATAAGTTAAGGGGAGCTTTACAATATATTGACTGGCAAAAACTCTTTTTAGCGAAAAGAACACTGAGGGTAAATGGAATATCTTCCAACAAATATTAAAAAGGTACATTTCTCATCATGTACCATTGGGTAATAAATATAAAAGAAACAAATTGAAACCAAAACGGCTTAGTGGGTAAGTGAATCAAGAAATTAAAAATAAGAAAAGGGCATTCAAAGCCTTTAAATTGGACAAATCAGAGGCATCCCAGAATAGATTTAAGGAAGTTAATAATGTGTGCAAAAAGACTATTAGTTTCGCTAAACTTTAAAATGAAATTGGAGGAAGGTGGATGTGGTTCCTAAACGCAAAAAGGATTCGACATCCTTGCCTGGAAATTATAGACCTGTTAGCTTAACTTCTGTGGCTGGGAAAGTATTTGAAAGGTTATTATGGGATAATATTCATGAATTATTTGAGAAGAACATGGTTATCAGCAAAAATCAGCATGGTTTTATGAAGCACAGGTCATGTCAAACTAACTTTGCGTTCTATGAAGAAGTAAGTAGAAGTATAGATTAGGGTGTTGCAGTGGATGTGATCTACTTGGATTTTGCCAAGGCGTTTGATACAGTTCCACACAACAGATTAGTGTTCAAACTCAAAGAAATCGGTCTAGATGGAAATTCTTGTTCTTGGGTGGAACATTGGCTTAAAAATAAAGTACAGAGCTGTCATTAATGGTACATTTTTAAGCTGGACAGAAGTGGCAAGTGGTGTCCCTCATGGTTCTGTTTTGGGACCCCTTCTATTTAACATGTTTATAAATGATCTTGAAAAAAGGACTGAAAGTCATGTTTCAGTGTTTGCATATGACACAAAACTCTGTAAAATAATACAATGTAAGCAAGATATTACTTTGCTGCAGAGGAATTTAGATAGGCTGGAGGACTGGGCACTGAAATTTAATGTAGATGAAATTTAAACAAGCAACTTTTACCGTTAATGGAAGCGAATTAGAGCTAACCACACATGACAAGGACTTGGGAAGTGTTATAGACAACAAACTATGCAACAATGTGCAATGTCAATCAGCAGTCGCTAAAGCCAATAAGGTATTGTCAGGCATGAAAAAGGGCATTAATTCTTGGGAGGAGAATATAATTTTCCCTCTTTATAAATCGCTGGTAAGACCACATCTTGAATATGCTGTGCAGTTTTGGGCACCTGTGCCATAAGAAAGATATTATGGCACTAGAAAGAGTGCAGAGGAAGGCTACAAGATTAATAAAAGGAATGGAACATTTTAGGGATGAAGAAAGGTTAACAAATTTAAACCTCTTTAGTTTACAAAACGTCGCCTCAAAGGGGATATGATGACATTATACAAATAAATTCCAAACAAATTTGTCAAGCCCTGTATTGTGGTATGCGCTCCTCTTCTATCATAGTAAAATAAGATCTTCTTACAGCGATCAGCTGGGCAATTAGACAAGTGATTCTGTTAGCCTGCTGTTTTGACATGGCCCAGGAATGATATTCAACAAAATCTGGCCCGGTGGACACATCCCTGGAATGATGAGGAGTCTGACTGTCTCTGTCCAATCTGCCTCATTCAACTATCCTAAACATCCCCCCTGTTCTGATAGTGATAGTAGGGTAATAGTGGAAGAGGTACAGCTATCGGGAGGTGGTAAGAACTGCGCAGAATCACTGCACTGGTAATTTCATTTTCTTCTTTATTTCTCATGATACCAACTTCTGTTGTCTTCTCAGATGTAGATTTATTCCATCATTCCATCTCCACTCACTCCCTCGCAGCTCAAATCCATCTTCTTGGAGGCACTCAAAGTATCAAAAACTGTGCCTCAGTGCAATACATTAGCTTCAACCATTTGTCTGGTGACTACTGAAGATACAGATAAATGACCATCAATGGTGGTGGAAGCTGTCATAACACTAGCCTCCACATTAGTACTTGGTTGACTTCTGCTAATAGAAAGGCTGGTGGTTGTGGTGGCAATAATGACAGTGGCTGAGTTACTTGTGGGACTAGTAGCAGATGATGTTACAACGGTCTCCATTTAATGGAGAGATTCAAAAGTAGATAGAGTTGGACTTTGATGCAGTAGGAGAGTAAACAATAACTGGAGAAAATAGTGGATTGCTGCATGTTCTCCCTAGAGTATCCTCTTGTAAACCCTAGAGGTCATAGTTGAGTTCCTCCTGGGTCATAGTTAAATAAAATATGTCTGCAGTGGTGGGGGAAAGAGTGGTATCATCACCAGATTTATCACCACCTCCATCAATACAAGACATTTGGGACATTACTCTATCTCTTCAGTAAAGGTTGTCTCCACTGGCCCAGTGAACTAGATTCTGCTGATATTTCCCTTAGTTGCTTTTTGGGGGTTCCAGAAAGATTAAGGGGAAACACTGATTTCAATGTTTTTTGAAAGGTGGACTAGTATGAGTCCTAGTGGCGATGATAGTTGCACTAGTCCAGCTACTGCTAACGGTACTTTCAGTCTGTATTTGGGGAAGCAATTCTTTACAAACATCTTAATCTTAATACTACACGTGGGCCTAGCTGACACTGCTGCTACAAACATTTCTGCTTGTTTAGAGTTTTAGTCAGCAATTGCAGCATTAAATGGACAAGAAAAACAATTCACCTCCTGGGTGCTGAAGCAGATGCAATGGACATGCTACTCCCGTTATCCTGTGGCTCAATCAAAGTACATAGGACCCTGGTGCAAGAATAATTTTGTGACCCTTCTATCGCAAGGATGGGGAAAAGGTAGATTCCTGTTGCACAACTCCCACAATACTTAGACATTCTTGCAAGATTGCACTTGGCGCTAAACAGTGTTTGCATGTTTGAATGTAAGCATGTTTTAGTATGGAGTAAGTGTGTGTGAATGTATGGATGTATTTGTGTGTAGTGTTGCCATTTGAAAGCAGTGGTTTACTCGTGTGTAATGTTTTTTGTTTGAATGTAGGTTTGCATCTGTATGTAATGTTGATATTTGAATGCAAGGTTGTATTTGTGTGTAGTGTTGAAGTGTGAATGCTGAGAAGTATGTATGTATCTGTGTTACACAAAAACACATATACACACTGACACACACAGATACACAGGTATAGATGTGCAGACACATGCACTGACACACATACAGATGCACAGATACATACACAAAAACACCAGATACACACTGACACACACAGATACACAGGTATAGATGCACAGACATGCAGACACATGCCCTGACACACATACAGATGCACAGATACACACTGACACACACAGATACACAGGAATAGATGCACATACATGCAGACACATGCACTAATACACATACAGATACAAGGATACACAGATAAGATACACACTGACACATATGCATATACATACACACAATGACACTGTAATATGTTCTTCCTCACCTTGAGGTCTCTGCACCCAGCGGCCGTGCATCTGCATGACTGACACTTGCGGCATGCTAATGGATGCCGGCCGCTGCGGATCCATGGCAAATTATACCCCCACGTCCGCTCACGTGATTAACGAAGTCGGCGTGCATGTGACGTCACGCACGCACTGCATGAGCACTTTTTGGGGTCAAAGACAGATCTCGGACAATCAGAAAGGTAAAGCAGGTATTTAAACCCAAAATTTCCTTTCCTCATTGCCCTGTCGTTATTTCCCTAGTGGTTGTCCGAGAGTGCGTTCCTGATTCAAGTATTTTGTAGTTTTTTGACTCTGGCTTTGTTTTGACTTCCCTGTATTCTGGTATCCCTGATTTCTGGCTTTCCCTTATCATTGTGTCTCTTTCTGTATTCCCTGACCTCGGCAAGTTTCCTGACTACTCTTTGGTACGTTAAGTCCGGCCATCCTTAGGCCCACTAATACGTTATCTATTAGTCATCTGTGTGACACAATTCTACGTGCTGGATCAACTAATACACAGATACACACAATGACAGACACAGATACACACAATGACCCACATAGATACACAGGAGCACACATTGATGCACAGATACACATACAGACACACAAATAACACATGCAAACACAGATAACATAAGTTCACATTACATACAGTTTTATCCACCCGCCTGTTTCTATACCTTTTTGGTTGTTGGGGGGTGGCTTCCCTGGTGTCCAGTGGCATCTTGCTGGGTCTGATGGGCGTCATGTCCAGAATCCAGGCTTCCTCCTCTCTGGTCCTCCCCCCTGACCCGCATGGCTTGATTGTATGCTGGGAGGAGGTGACTCACTTCCTCCCAGCACCGCCCCATTGCACAGATCACGGAGCCCAGTCGCGCTGTTAAATGCCATGGCACCTGCCCAGGCTCCCTGATCAAAGATGGGCATTGGGTGACCATAAGTGCAGGGGCCACCTGATATATCCCCTTAGCATGCGACTGAGGCTGAATACTACTACAGTAGTGACACTTCTGGAGGTGGGGGTTGGAGGTGTGAGTAGTCCTTTTGACCAAGGTATAGGTGTTAAAACACTCAAGGGATAATTCTATTTTCTTTCTACAAAGAGTAAAAAATAAAATACTTTTCACACTCAGTGCAGTGTTCACTTGTGTAGTAAATCGCAATGTGTGTCTGTGTTAGTGTGTCTCTGTATATCGATCAGTGTGTATGTGTGCTAGTATATTTTTGTGTATTATGTGTATGCATATTAGAAATAGAGTGGCGGGGGGGGGTGCTACAAATGTTTCTCCCCTAGGGCCCTGGAATTGGTAACTGTGATCCTGCTACCACATGAAATATAGAAAGCCTTGGGCACCAAGTCGCCCTGGCACTTAGAAATTGTCATATGGTGAAACCGGGATTACTGTTTTATCCGACACATGTCAAAGACATAATGTTGCACATAATATACATAACCGGTACAGAGGATGGGACAAACCTGCTCCGTATGATTGTCTTGTGATGTTTGGTTGTAGAAGCCTAGAACCATGTAAACACTGACACACAGGTTCATATTGGAATGCTAAGATTGCAGCTGGATATAGGCTGAGCCTGTGACACTGCACACACAAGGATGCAGCTCCACCATACAGCATATTCTAAAGAATCAAACGCTCAAAGATGCTGCACTTGAAAGTTCAATTTCTGGATGACTCTCAGAAGACCTTTGTTGTGGATGTAAGTAAATACAATAAAAAAAAATGTGATTTTGTACATAGAGCAGGAATTCTGTGCCAGGGTATTTAGCTAATGAAACTACAATGCTGGTTTTATTTTATATTTTATGCTTTATTTCCCTGACACAAAGCAGTAGTATAATACAGATATAAATTATTAGCTAACGAATGTCATCATCTCCTGCTAACCCTTTCATGTCTGTTTGGAGTGTGTTTATTAATATTTTTTACTTCTGGTAAGTTGTGAGTGCAGTATTTTAAATACAATATTTCAAAGATCCTCATATTATTATTATTATTATTTTGTATTTTCTTTTTTTTTTTTGCTTATACTTTGCAGCTGGTTAGGGACTTTAGAGCATAATTATTCATTGTTTGATATTGATACATAATTAATGAAATATTAGGCCATTAAGAGTGTGTTCTCTACTTATTTTTATATCAAGTAAGTGTTCAGCTTTTGCTATATTTATATGTGTGTACATCTCACTAGACTCATACAGTTAATATCTATCTAACTATCTCTCTATATTGCTCTCTCTCTCTCTGTTGCTATCTAACTATCTCTCTATATTGCTATCTATCTCTTTATTGCTATCTATCTTTCACTCTCTCTCGCTATCTCTCCATTTCTATCTATCTATCTCGCTATCTGTCTATCTCTATTTCTCAATCACTCTCTTGTGATCTGTCTATCTATCTCTCTCTTGCGATCTATCTATATATCTTGCTATCTCTCTCTCTTGCTGTCTATCTATCTTTCACTCTTGCTATCTATCTCTCTCTCTTGCTGTCTATCTATATATCTTGCTATCTCTCTCTCTTGCTGTCTATCTATCTTTCACTCTTGCTATCTATCTCTCTCTCTTGCTGTCTATCTATATATCTTGCTATCTCTCTCTCTCTCGCTGTCTATCTATGTATTTACATCTCTCGCTATCTCTCTCTTGCTCTCTCTCTCTCTTGCTATCTATCCTGCTTTATATCTCTCTCTCTTGCTCTCTCTCTCTTGCCATCTATCTATGTATCTCTCTCTCTTGCTATCTATATATATATCTATCTCTTGCGCGCGCTCTCTCTCTCTTGCGCGCGCTCTCTCTCTCTTGCGCGCGCTCTCTCTCTCTTGCGCGCGCTCTCTCTCTTGCTTTCTATCTCTCTCTCTCTCTCACTATCTCTCTCTCTCTCTCTCTCTCTTTCTCTCTATCTATCTCTCTATCGATGCTCAAGCTCCTAGGGTTAAGAATAGCTAAAACATGTATTCATTAATGCTTGCGGATAAAAATATAAATGTTTTTTGGGGGCATCTAAGGATTGTGAAGACGTTGTTGCTTACCTCAATGCTTTTAATTTGATTCCCCTGTGGAAAGAGAGTGTATTTTGATTTCCTGTTTTAAAGTAGTTGACTGTTAAACCTTATATATTTTGTTTTAATAATATAATAATTTATTTTGTCCAAAATAGCCTAACGATAATCAATGGACTATGGTTTAAATGGTGATTGAGTAAAAACTCTTCACTGGTTTTCTAGCTAGTAACTATATGCAATAACATTCTATGAACCCATCTATTTTCTCTTTTATATTGTTTAAACTTCTTCCGATTAAACAAACCTCAGTTGGCACATGCATAATGATACATAAAGTATATCGGTAGCGTTCATGGTTCTATATTTAAGATCAGTTAAATTTCACATACAGATACTAATCATACAGGTTTTGTAAAATTTCTACCGTGAACTGGATTAATAAAGACGAGTAAATGTAAAAGCTTTCTTTTATATACATGTTATTGTAACTAATGGCTTTGTCATTTGCTTTATTCTTCCAGAGAATGAACAGATTTTGAACACTCCACTCCAAGGCATTTGATCCATTTCCTGTTAGAAACATGCAGTAGATTAATACGGGATAAGTCAGTCAGGTCACAAATGATTATAGCTAAGGGGCGCCTACTAAATACCAGTCAATCCCCCCCAAAACATGTAATATATGTGTAAAAGTCCAATGAGGTTCTTCGTTCTTAAAGGAGCACTCTGACAATAAAAAAAAAAAAACTTTATATTTATTTTTAACATTAGATTAAAAAATATATATATATTTTTAATTTTTTTTAACTCTATGTAGACCCCTTTGTGGTTGAGATAAAAAAGTTACAAAATGCCATTCTGCTTTCCTGAAATCGAGGGCAGGGGCAGCCTCTACACTGGTGCTCTATCTGCCCGCTGTTAGATTACCAACATCGGTGATTTGGTCCAATCAGATGCTTCTCACATATAAGCGATAGAGACCTACAGCAGATGAACAGCAATCTCCACAGTTTGCCAATTAAATCCAATGCAATGACAGCATTAGCGGCATTTGCCTTAAACATACTGAGCATGATGCCAATGAATGTGAAGACCTTTGCTCCCCCCTCCCCCTCACACACACAGTCACCAAATGTGCATGAACAAGGGCATGTCATTTTATTATGACAGAACACAACTATTTATTAAACACATGCACACACCTTGACACATACACACACTGACACACAGATACATGCAATGGCCCATACACACATACACTCACTGGCACATGCACACATACACACACAATCAGATACACATATTAAGATACACACTGACACACAGATACGTATACTGACACGGATGCAAACACAGATAAACACACACAATCTGACATACGTAGATACATACATGTTATAATTTGTATATTTGCAGCCCCACCCCCACCCCCACCCCCCCTGTTAGCTTACATTTTGTGCCCAGGAGGGTCCTGGTGATGCTGACTAGTGTGCATAAGGCTCTGCAGCAGCTCCAGCCTCTCTGTTAGTGTGCATAAGGCTCTGCAGCAGCTCCAGCCTCTCTTCCCCATACTGCTTGTGTCCGCTGCCGCCTCCTCTTTCCCTCCCGCACAGTGCTGGGTGGAAATTATCGACTTTTACTCCCTCCCAGCCAGCTGATACTACCGGGGCCCGTCGCTATCTTAAAGGGCTGTGGCGTCTAACTAGGCCCTTGTTCATCAGTACCCATCAGGTGGCCCGCAAATTATATGCAATATCTCGGAAATCACAAACACAATCTGACATACATTGTATGTCAAACTGCATTTGTGGGATTTCCGGGATATTGTATATAATTTGTGGACATCAGGAAGGCACTAATAAAATGTGGGAGATTTGGAACGTCTGGTATTTTAGACAACACGTAAATATTGCTGTTTTTTCGAAACAGAAATATTTTACATTGTTAGGCAAAACGAATAAAATGTATGCACCAAAAACCTACATTAAGATGTAGTGATGTTGGTGCCTAGAACAGGGGTCAGCAATCTATGGCACGTGTGCCATGCATGGCACTCAAGGCTGCTAGAGCCAAACAGGCTCTGTCCTATCAGGATTCCCAGTGAAACTTCAGATATCTGCTAATACGAAAAGGTGGTGAAGGTGGTGGTGCGTTGCAGCACATGTGAATGGGAATCCGCACTCTAGTACAGCAGCCCGCAGCTGCTGTGGGAGCTCCTGTCCTTGACCTGTACCTGGCCAGCCTGGTCCCCATTGGAACCCAGGGAAGCCACCCACACTGCTAGATATACACAGAAATGCAGAATAACCCTCCCCTCACACAAATAATACGAACAGCCCACACAAACATACACACAATCCCCACAAACTCAACACCACTAACAATCCACATTCATGCACACAACCCCACATGCAGCCTCTCACATGCAATACCCCAGACAGCCCCCACACATACACACACTACCAAACAGCCCCTCACATACACACACTACATCCACACACACAATTTCACATGCAGCCCCCATACACAGCCCAGATTCATAGGTATCATACACGATACCTCAAACTACTTGTGAACATATACAATCTAATAGCTCATATACGCACAAATACAATGATACAAAGCAACTGCAGTATAAATAACACAAGCAGAATACGGCAACATGCACACCTCAATTTAAAAAAATAAAACTGGCATGTTACTGGACATCACAATCTTATTTCGGCACAGTGCTGCTAAAGGGTTGCCCTCCCCTGGCCTAGAACATCCCTTTAATTTGTTCTGCAATGTAAAATGTGTGATATATGATGTTTTTAAATCCTGGCCTGCAAATTGAGTGACCTCCAACAATGCTTTAAAAATTGTATTTCGTGATAGTTGCCATTTTTGCAAAGCAGTGACACTAACTTCAGGGAAGCATTGTGACAAATATGGTCTGGCCTGCCTGAGATTGAGAGTTACACTCCAGAGCAGCAGTTGCCATCATTAATTCAGTGCCCACCATATTACTGATATGCCAGGAATGGAGTTGGGGAGACAGAGACAGTGATATTCTCTCCCCCCAGCTTCTCTCCATGCATTTAACCAAATGGAAAGTCTGATTTAAAGAAAGCAGCTGCTGACCAAGAAAGTAACTTTTTAAATATCTCAGACAAACTACGACATGTGTATCGCATTGCTGCCCTAAGATTAAAAAAAACCTAGCCCTAAGCTTAACACAAAAAAAACAAACATCATGTATTGTAATATATACATAAGGCTAATCACAGAATTGGAAAAATATAAAAGGTATTGGAGGACAAAACAAAAATACAAACAAAAACATTTACAGTTCAACGTACTGAATATAACAATGTGTGAAAATCTGGAATTAAGATCACTCACAACAGAGCCTTATGAGCATAGCAATTAGTATGGGAGGTCTTACAAGAACCAAATTATGCCACGCAGGGCCGGCCTTAGGGGTGTGCGAGCTGTGCGGCCGCACAGGGCGCCATGCCAACAGGGGCGCCAGGCAACCAACACAGCTCGCACAACCAGGTCCTGCCCTACCTCAGAGCGCCCTGGTGGGTGAAAGATTGCGCCCCAGCAGACCCTTACAGAGTGTGCTCTGCTTTGGTATTGGCTGGTGAGTAGATTGAGGACCTCCCTCACTGGCCCGCTGTTTGGATGATGGGAGCGAGCATTGAGCGCTTTAAATCTGCTCTCCTCTCGCGAGCTTGGCATTCAGAGTGTTGCCGTGGCAACGCTCTCATACTATCAACGCAGAGCTCGCAAGAGGAGGGCTCCTGTTCTGCAAGGACTGGCAGAGACCGCTGGACCACCAGGTCATCAGTATTCCCCCATCCCTGCCCAAAGGTATGCAAGAGGGAGGGGGGCAGAAGGGGGGAATCAACATTAATTAATTTTAAGAAAACAAAACCTGAAATTGCTCTCCCATCTCCTCATTTAAAGCCTTATGTCACCCCCTCCTACCCACAAATCATCACTATCCCACCCTTACTGTGTTACCTACACACACTCCATAACACACACACACATACACACACTACATAATCTACTCACGCACACACACTACATAATCTACTCACACACAACATCCCCTATACACACACTACATAATCTACTCACACACACACGCGCACTACATAATCTACTCACATACGCACTATATAATCCACACACACACGCACGCCACATAATCTACTCACACACTACATAATCTACTCACACACTACATAATCTACTCACACAGAACGCTCCCTATAAACACACTTTGTTCTCTACACACATACACACTAGATATCTCACAAACACTACAAAACGTACAGACACACTATGCTCCCTATATATACACACTACATAACTTGCACCCATACACACTACATTCCCTATACACACACACTATGTTCCCTAAACACATACACACTACATCCCCTTTACACACACACACACTATGTTCCCTAAACACATACACACTATATACCCTATGCACACACTGTTTCCTACACACACACACACGCTACATCCCTATCCCACACCACACTGTTTTCCCTACACACACTGCATCCCTATTCCACACACAACATAATGGCATGGCAATTTCAGGGAGTCAGGACACTCTTGTTAGAAATGTGTTTTTACTCCTAATGCTTGAGTATGCCTTCACATAGGTTTGTTTTTCCCAAATCTATACACGTGGGAGGAATTCTTCTAGCCCATATATATATATATAATTTTCTGCTCATGATTTCTAAGAGTAATATTTAAATATACATGTATATTAATATGGGTGTATTATTATTATTATTATTATTATTATTATTATTATATGTGTTATTACACCTATAATATTTACAAATGTATTAATATACGTGTATATGCATGATATGCCCAGAAATCACGTTAATACGTAACACCTATGTAATAGAGGCTTAGCACTTTTTACAAGATGGACGAGGGCATGTGACCATGGAGGGGCGCTGTGAATATTTTTCGCACAGGGCGCCTAAAGGCCTAAGGCCGGCCCTGATGCCACGCCAAGAGTCCATAAATCTGTCACTGCTGGTATTATTTGGTCAGATATACATATTAACATCAAAACTCTAACAAAATTTATGTATATTTTCACATCAGATTTTTTTATAACTTTGCTTTTAGTATTAATAGGTCAGGTGTACATTTTAACATCAAAACTATAATATTATAGGAAAATTTACATATATTTTCAGATCATGTTTTTATAACTTTGCTTTTAGTGAGTTAAGCTTTTTCTTTACAAAATTGCACGTTATGCAGGCTATATTAATAACTACTATTTTAACACCTTTTACAGTATTGACCTTTAAACCTATATTTAAAAGAAAATGTGTGGTTTTTTTTTTTTTAATGTTATATAATTTGACCAATGAAAAAACGGCATACCCACCAGTTCACAGAACTCCCTCACATAAGCCAGGCTCCTACTGTATTGCTGCCAAAATATATAGTTACCAAATTCCGACCACCCAGTTTTTGTTAGAATTAAAAATATCATTTCTTTGAAAAGTTTAATTAAACAGCTGTTTTAATAGCATTGAATTAAACAGCAGTTTCAGATACACATTATTGCTACCCTATTCATGGATTGCAAAAAAAAAACTTATTTTATTTACATTTCCAAAAAATACAGGGGCACATACACAGAAACACACACGTAGATGTCCACGGACATATGTACACACAGATACACTCCAAGAGGTAAACACACAGTGACTGACATGCAGGGGCGTACCTATTTTTGGCACCCCCCCCACACACACACACTTTAAAATGTAAAAAACAAGCACAATGTTTTTAAATGTATTTAGCACTGAGCAGTGTTTGTGTGTTTGAATGTTAGCATGTTTTTGTATGGAGTATGTTTGAGTGAATGTAGGGGTGTGTTTGTATGTAGTGTTGGCCTTTGAATTCAAGCATTCATTTGTGTGTAGTGTGGTTGTATACAGTCTACTGATACTATTATGAGTGGGTGATCAGAAAACATGAAAATACATTTGGCTAAACCATTTAATTATGGTGTGTGTATATATATATAAAGAAAAGCTTGATTGTTGGGAGGTAAAAACTCTCATATGACTTGAAAAATATTCACTGATCTTCATTGTTGGTGAATCAACAAATAGTATCAATAATTATTCTCTAAAGAGGTACATTGCATAATAATTCGCTGGGTGCAGAAGATCTGAGCTCTGAAGATCTGAGTTTTTTTTCTCAATATTTTTTTTTTTTTGTAATGCAATGCCAATAACACAAACAGGTATAGACTTGCCATCGTAAAACATTAAAGAAGTGTCTGAGAAAATTTGAGATACATGTCAAGATTACTGCACTAGTTTTAAGTTCTATAATGCTTCTCAATAAAAATGCGTTTTCAATAGAAGCCTTACTGAGTTTTTGACTACTGACCCCTCTGTAACAGATACAAGATAGATTTTTGAGATGTTATTCTATTGGCCTTCAGGGATGCTATTTATACGGTATATAAGTTTATATTGTTTCCAGGGATAGCCAGCCTTGGGAACAAGCATCACTAACTCAGGAGCAATGCAACAACATCTAAAGGGGATGTTAAAAAGTCCAACCTAGTGACTTTGCTTGTCTACCTTCAGAATGTTTTATGAATAAATGCCAAAATGGTGACCTCACTAGAAGGACTGTCCTCCTTTTCATTTTCCATGACTACAGCTTTATCCTATCACGCGTACAGAAATTAGCTTTTATTTTACATTGTCGTCATTAGTTACCTCAGTGTCTGGTCACAAAATGGCTACATCTTTATTTCCCTCTAACAATAACACTTTACATGAAACAATATACCTCAATTTTATAGTTTTAGTGGAGCTCAAGACATCCCGAGTTAAATTTTATTTGCTAATATCTTCGAACTGTTTTTAAAAGATATTCACTGAACTAAGCAAATTAAACATGCTGGTGGAGAACAGGCTTATAATTGGTTTAATTGCACAATGTCTCCTAATTTAGACAGGGATTGGGAGAATGTTCAGAACAGGCTGTTATTAGATTGTCACTAGAGCATAGGCAGAGGACAAAACCATAGTAATTTTCCTCAACAGCACTTGATTTCATGAAGGTTCTTATGCTCATCACATCAACATATGTTAAAGCTTTCAGCTCTTAGACAGCCATAGCTTTGCTTCTTGTCCCAAGGGATAACAGAATTAAAGCATTCATTCAACTCTATGCAAATGTGAGACTAATTCTGTTACCAGATCTACTCATCATTAGCATTAAGAACATTTTCTTTTACTTTCTTTTCTTTTTTTCTCTCTCTCTCTCCTTGTGGACTGTCTGTCAATAAATGTTAGGTTGGCGTTGCCACGAAATCTGGTTAGAAAATTATATCATGAGAAAATGACAGACTGCAATTTATGTGAAACTGCCATGAAAATAAACTGTATATAAGACATCATATCAGATTCCTATTTCAGGTTCCATCCTTGATACATTGTAATAGCAGAAAACCACAGGTAGAACCAGCGGTGAAGCAATTAAAGAGACAGTAAAAAACAAAGAGTTAATGTGCTTGTTTAAGTGGCCATATGCAAGTGAGATATTTCAGTGGTTGGAGCCCCTGAAATACTGTAGCTGGTACAGTATTTCCAGCACCTGTTTATACTGCAATGTTAAAATCAATAAGACTTTAAAAAAAATAAGAAAAATTGTTTTGTTTAATCCTTAATTTATTCCACCCAGCACTTATTCAGTGTATACCTATTGTTTATCTTGTTACAAACGTCCATAGTGTTTTTGGGAAACCTACCAGTGGCCCTGAAGAGGTAGCCATTTTGTGATCAGACACTTTAGTAATTAATATCGATGACAATGTATAATAGACAATGTACTATATCTATAGGACACTTGCACTAAAATATTTCCTGAGTACTAAGTGCTGCTTCACCCATGTTACCTCCCAAAGTCACCTGGGCTAAATGCAGATCTAAGGAATAGTGTACTGTGAAAATTAAACTCCCTTCCTAAAACACTTACCACCACAGTGTCTGACCACAAAATGGCTGCCTCTCCAGGGCCACTGGTTGGTTTTCCAAAATATTATGGACTTTTGTCCAAATGTGGGGTGGGGGGAAATTGAGCGACTACCGTATATGTGGGTTTATAAGGCACAACTCCTTTAAGTTACTATAAATGCGTCTGTTGGGGTAGCATTATTGGATTGCCATGAACTTCAAATTCCAGGGTTCACAGTAAATGCAGATGGTAAAGATGGTCACACTATTGTTGCAACAGGTGAAATTTGTGTGGTTACTTCAGCATCCAATGCAGAACACAAAGTGATTCTTTTTGACAAATATGTATGCAAGTTATGCAATGTAGAAATAGATTATAATTATGTATATTTTCACTTATGAACTATCTTGGTTGTTATTGTTGGGGGATTTGTATAGATTTCAACCCTTCCCTTTGTGTACACTATAAAATGAAAATGTTACGTGTAACGCTGATGTTTGATTTCCTAATTACTTTGGTAGCAAAAAGCTCTTGGAAAGGAACTGTTTAACATGAGCTGCAGCCATCTAAACCTAACAGAGAAAGAATACTTTGGTTTGGAATTCAGAAATCACTTAGGATTCCAAGTAAGTGAATGTCTCTGTTATAGCTAAAGGGCAAATGAAGAATGCTTTGCTGCTTTTCAATGTCAATGTGACTTAAAAGGGAATTCACCATGATTTTTACATTTTATTGAACTTTAACTCAAGCCTTATGTATAAAACTGTTTTATATTGATGTATATGTTAGTTGTTACTGGTTTTCTTTGCATACAGCTATTATTAGTAATTATAAATCGATTTAGATTATGGGTTCATCGTCATGTGTGCTGAATAAAAGCTCTAAATGATCTTTAGTTAACTTCCTTATATTCTTGGAGATTCAATGCAAAAATTACATTTTTTTTTTTTTAATATTATATTAACTTATCCCCATTTAATTAGCATATTGTGAAAAATAAAGTTAACAGGGCTATTTAGTAATGTGAGAATTCCAACTGAATTTAAAATTTGAGGCTAGAGTAGCCAAACTAAATGCATAGCTGATTTGGAGAATATTTTGACCTTAAATTCTAAATTCCATTTGAATTCACTTTGAATTCTCAATTTAGTAAATAACCCTGTAAATCCAGAAATTCATACTTCTCTATCCTCTAACTAGGCACTCTGTCCTGAATTTTTAATATACACTTTAGCTTAATAATTTATTTCTTTATTATTGCCCTTTATATAGCGCCAACAGATTTTGTAGTGCTTTACAATATTATGAGAGGAGAATTTAACTATAAATAGGACAATTACAAGAAAACTTACAGGAATGATAGGTTGAAGAGGACCCTGCTCAAACGAGCTTACAGTATATAGGAGGTGGGGTATAAAACACATGAGGACAGGAAACCGCAATCAAATAAGGTGGGAGTGAAGCAGAGCTGGAGGAGAGAGTAGAGTGCTGCCCTTTAGGAGAGAGCAAGAGACAGGTATGTGAGGTAGAGGTTACTCTGGGAGGCCATGAGCTTTCCTAAAGAGATGGGTTTTAAGGCACTTCTTAAACGATTGAAGACTAGGGCAGAGTCTGATGGCGGTAGCAGGCTATTCCATAGGAAGGTGCCTGCGAGAAGTCCTGCAAGTGTGAGTTGGCCATACAGGTGTGAGCAGCTGACAGGAGAAGGTCACGGGCAGAGCGGAGAGACCGAGAAGGAGCATACCTATAGATCAGTGATGAAATATAGGAGAGGCTAGAATTGTTCAATGCTTTATAGGTATGGGTTAGTACTTTGAATTAACTCCTATAAGATACAGGAAGTCAATATAAGGACTGGCAGAGGGGTGAGGTGTGAGAGGACCGACTAGAGAGGAAAATCAGTCTGGCGGCAGCTTTCATTATAGACTGTAGCGGGGCAATCCGGCTTTTGGGAAGACCAATTAGGAGAGAGTTACAATAATCCATGCAGGAAATTACTAGAGCATGGACAAGCTCCTTAGTAGCTTCTTGCCTAAGAAAGGGGCAGATGCAGGCTATGTTTTTAAGATGGAATCTACAGGATTTGGCAACATGCATTCAGTAGCCGGGGAGAAAGTTTGAAGGGTAGGAAAGGCATGATCTACGTGTGGTTGAGAGAGAACGGCAAGGAAGGGAGAATTCTTTCCTTAGCTGTTCAATCTTGTCAGTAAAGTAGCATGCAACGCTATCGGCTGTAAGGTTAGTTTGAGGGGTGGCCACAGCAGGGCGAAGAGAGTCGAAGGTGTCAAAGAAACGCCTGGGATTGCAGGAATTATGACTGTTTGACGAGGGCAAGGGCTGTGCTGTATGAGCACAATATGAATCTATAATGGAGAATCTATAATAGCAAGGTACCATTTAATTTAATGCATAAAAATTGCCGATTATTTTGGCCTTGGCGACAGTATAATCATAATTTTAATAAAGATAGGAGGTGAATATTTGCTTAACCACTTCAATGTCAAAAATATGACCAATCAGAGAGAGGCACAGGTTATATAACTTATGCAGCAATTCCAAAAGTCTTCTTTCTTTGATGCAGCAAGCAAATTCTAAAGGTAGTAATGCATACATCAATGTGCCTGTCCAGTTCCTTGAAAGGTTCGCATTACTTGTTTCACAGTGTTCAATATGTCGATGGTCATGGATTTCTTGTATCTACCTGTTGGTGCAGTGGTGTGTTGTAAAAGGAAGGGAGCAGCTTTAAAGGGAGGAGGGTTGTCAGAAAACAACTTCAGAATATCACTAATTGCTTTCCAAAAGGGTCATATTGGGGCATTCCCACCAGATGTCTAGAAATGTACCTATGGCAGTATGACAATGGCAAGAATTGCCTTCAAGGCTGGGTTGACACTGTGGAGAAAGTGCGGTGTTCTATACCGCAGTGACAAAACTTTAGAAGCTGTTTCTTGTGTTTTGCTGGCCGATGTGCAAGGGTGAACCAAGTCACAAATCTTATCCCACTATTCCGTAAGTACCTCCCCTATGGCTGTTTCCCAATTGCCCTTTTATTAAAGGTGACAGGAGATTTCCATTTTGTTGGAGCAGTGCGTATGAGTTGGAAATGGCATGTAGCTGAGGTTCTGGGTCGTCACATAGAAATTCAAATGGGGTTAAAGTTCTACACAAGTCTGGTCATTGGGGTATGTGGTCTACGAATCATTTCAACTATTCATATTTCAGCCTGTGTAGGAATATGTCCGGGAAGCCATCCAGTAAAGGTTGGATCATGTAAATGTTGGATCCTATCCCCTAGCATCGGGTGGTGAACTTGAATGAAAGTCTGCTGAGGAAACCTTTGAATGCTCCCCTCTCCATCCCAGGGCAAGTTTAGGGTTGTCTGCATTAAAGGGTAAAAGAGAGAAGGAAATGAAGAAAGGCCCATCTTTGGTGCAATCCTATGCCATATGTCTAGAGTAGCCTTGATAAAGGGTTGAAGTTGTGAAAGTTTCCTGCTCTCTGTTAGAGTCATCCATGTTAGAGCTGTCAAAGAGCTGCCTGTCCAAATCTTTTCAATCTCCTTCCACAATTAGTTGTGTCCCATCTTAACCCACCCCAACACCCGTAAGTGGAAAGAGCAATAATATGAGTAAAAGTCGGGAATAGCAAACGCCCCTCAACCTTTGATTTCATTAGTAGGAGATATTTGGTTATATTTAGGTGTAGTAAAGAAAGGGTTAAGCAAATATGAAGTTTCTTCTCTTGAAATAAAATTAATACTTAAAATGGCACATGAACTTATACTGTGAAAATATGATATATATTTTTTTCTTTTAATACAAATCCCTTAATCTCAATGAAGCAGCACATCACTGAGAAAATGTGTACTCTCTGACAATGCCAGCACTAACAAAGTATTAAGTGTTAAACAAGGGGGTGGTAATAAAAGATACAGTTTTACAGCTTAGAAAATGTGTTTGAAATTTTAATAAACGCAATTTTTGCAAGAATTTTTTTTTTTGCAATAATATTATTTTTACACATATAGATTTTCTTTAATGCTGTACACTGAAGGCTAAGAACATAAAAAGTGAAAAGGTTATAGTTTTAAAAATAATACATTTAGAAAGAGACAAGAAATATATAGACCTATTTGACTATTCTTCAATATCTTTGCAGATGTGGCTGGGACTTTTGAAACCAATCACGAAACAAGTGAAAAGTAAGTTGCAGCAAGAAATAATTTGGGTTCTATTAACTAAACTACAACTTATGTTAACCTGAGAACCTTCATGGAAAATCTGAGTCAAACAGCTGAATTGGAAATAGTGTTTTAACTTGCCTAATATAGGCTATGTATATAACTATGTTTTGCTGGTCGATTCTCCTATCCGTGCAACCATTTTCTCTACATTACAGTTAAAGGGACACTCCAGATCCCTAAAGCGCTTTACTTTACTGAAAAGCTATAAGACTGTATCTTCTTTTTTCATTTTGCAAAAAGTGCATATTTCAATAGAATAGTATACATGTATACAGCATCTTGGCTTTTAAGGAGACAACAGGTCTTATAACTTCCTGGTTGCTTAGCTCAGTGGAGCTAAACCCAAGAGTCAGCAATTGCTCAGCGCACCTGACTTCCAAAGACTTCATTGAACTACATTGGGAGGTCTGTGATTGGACAGCCACAGAAAGCCTGGGAGGGGTTAGAAGGGGAGGGTTTGTTCGGGATGCAGATGAGAGATCTCTTTTAGATAGATCATGTTTTCATTGAGGTATATCTTCTAAACAGAGATTTATTTATTTTTGTTTTATTTTTTTAATTTTGTATTTTGGCAGTGTAGTGGTTTTTTAATGCAAACCTAACAAATCAGTTTTTACTATAGTGTTTTACAACATGCAAACATCTGCCCAATACCAAAGTTCACACTTTTTCCTATGTATAACTAAATACTTAGTTGAATTTACAGACAAAAAGAAACAAGGAAAAAATAAATGGATACATTAAAAGATTAATTTAAAAGCACAGCGACAATGTTGCTTTAAGGCTGATGATGTTTTATTTATTGAAAATAAGTATCACATAAGCTAAAAATATGTTCCCTAGTTGCTAATTCTAAATATACTACAATCTGGCAGTAAAATCTTAACGATCTTGGGAAAAAATAATTTTAGATATTGTCCAGACTTTGTCCAAGATCATGCCCAGCAAAGCAGGAATAATAAGAAAAAGTATTCCATACTTTGTCTTATTTTTTTTTAATTAGAATTAGTTGAATTTTTTTAAAAAGAAAGACAGATTAGGAAAAAGGAAGAGAAAGCAGCTGGGGGAAAGGTAAGTATGACGTGACAGTAAGATGAAGTGCTCTGGGTGCCTATAGAGTCCCTTTAAACCACTGAGTGGGATGACTTACTAGTGATGCACCGAACGGTTCGTTGGCGAACATATGCGCAGTTCGATCCGCCCCCTATTCGTCAGCAGACACATTCCAGCCAATTAGCAGCACACCCTCCCTAGCAGACCCTCCCACCTACTGGACAGCATCCATTTTAGATTCATTCTCAAGCTGCATGCTTAGTGAGAGGAGGGAAAGTGTAGCTGCTATTGATTTGATAGGGAAATGGATAGCTAGGTTAGTGTATACAGTGTCCACTACAGTCCTGAAGGACTCATCTGATCTCTGCGGTAAGGACAGCACCCCAAAAAGCCCTTTTTAGGGCTATAACATCAGTCAGCTTTTTTTGTGTGTAATGTAATTGCAGTTGCCTGCCTGCCTGCCAGCTTCTGTGTCAGGCTCACAGTGGATACTGTGCCCACTTGCCCAGTGCCACCACTCACTCACTGGTGTCACAATAGCTTGCATTTAAAAAAAAAACTTTTTTCACTGTAATAGATTGAATAGCAGTTAGTTGTCTGCAAGCGTCTGTGTCAGGCTCGCAGCGTATACTGTGCCCACTTGCCCAGTGCCACCACTCACTCACTGGTGTCACAATAGCGTGCATTTAAAAACCAAACACTTTTTTCACTGTTATAGATTGAATAGCAGTTAGTTGTCTGCAAGCGTCTGTTGTCAGGCTCACAGCGTATACTGTGCCCATTTGCCCAGTGCCACCACTCACTCACTGGTGTCACAATAGCGTGCATTTAAAAACCCCAAAACTTTTTTCACTGTTATAGATTGAATAGCAGTTAGTTGTCTCCAAGCGTCTGTGTGTCAGTCTCGCAACGTATACTGTGCCCACTTGCCCAGTGCCACCACTCACTCACTGGTGTCACAATAGCTTGCATTTAAAAAAAAAAACTTTTTTCACTGTTATAGATTGAATAGCAGTTAGTTGTCTGCAAGCGTCTGTGTGTCAGGCTCGCAACGTATACTGTGCCCACTTGCCCAGTGCCACCACTCACTCACTGGTGTCACAATAGCTTGCATTTAAAAAAAAAATTTTTTCACTGTAATAGATTGAATAGCAGTTAGTTGTCTGCAAGCGTCTGTGTGTCAGGCTCGCAGCGTATACTGTGCCCACTTGCCCAGTGCCACCACTCACTCACTGGTGTCACAATAGCGTGCATTTAAAAAAAAAAATTTTTCACTGTTATAGATTGAATAGCAGTTAGTTGTCTGCAAGCGTCTGTGTGTCAGGCTCGCACTGTTGCCCAGTGCCACCACTCACTCACTGGTGTCACAATAGCCATTTAAAAAAAAACTTTTTTCACTGTTATAGATTGAATAGCAGTTAGTTGTCTCAAAGCGGGTGTGTCAGCCCTACAGCGTGTACTCTGCCAGTTCACACCACTCATATCTGGTGTCACAAAAGCTTGCATTTAAAAACAAAAAACTTTTTTCACTGTTATAGATTGAATAGCAGTTAGTTGTCTTCAAGCGCGTGTGTCAGGCCTCGCAGCGTATACTGTGCCCACTTGCCCAGTGCCACCACTCACTCACTGGTGTCACAATAGCGTGCATTTAAAAACCCAAAACTTTTTTCACTGTTATAGATTGAATAGCAGTTAGTTGTCTCCAAGCGGCTGTGTGTCAGGCTCAGTGGGATACTGTGCCCATGTGCCACCACTCACTCACTGGTGTCACAATAGCGTGCATTTAAAACCAAAAACTTTTTACTGTTATTAGATTGAATAGCAGTTAGTTGTCTGCAAGCGTCTGTGTGTCAGGCTTGCACAGTGGATACTGTGCCCACTTGCCCAGTGCCACCACTCACTCACTGGTGTCACAATAGCTTGCATTTAAAAAAAAAATGTTTTCACTGTAATAGATTGAATAGCAGTTAGTTGTCTGCAAGCGTCTGTGTGTCAGGCTCGCAGCGTATACTGTGCCCACTTGCCCAGTGCCACCACTCACTCACTGGTGTCACAATAGCGTGCATTTAAAAACCCAAAAACTTTTTTCACTGTTATACATTGAATAGCAGTTAGTTGTCTCAAAGCGGGTGTGTCAGCCCTACAGCGTGTACTCTGCCAGTTCACAGTGCCACTCATATCTGGTGTCACAAAAGCTTGCATTTAAAAACAAAAAACTTTTTTCACTGTTATAGATTGAATAGCAGTTAGTTGTCTTCAAGCGCGTGTGTCAGGCCTACATGGAATGCGTGGCTCTGCAGAGGAGTTGGTGACACCGCCACGACTTGCAGGCAGGCCTGCTGCCACCTCCTCTACTCCTCCTACTCCATCCTCTTCCATTAAACTGATAGGAATAATACTACTTAACACACCTTATAATAACGCAGAGAGAGGCAACGCAGAGAGAGGAGTCTGAAGAAGAGGAGTCAGAGGAGGAAGGTGGCTTTGAGGAGGTGGAAGACCAAACACAGCAGGCGTCCCAGGGGGCTTGTTGTCACCTTTCGGGGACCCTTGGTGTTGTACGTGGCTGGGTGGAGGAAGAGACCTTCAATGACATCAGTGAGGACAAGGAACGGGACATGGCTAGCTTGGTATCCAACCTTGTGCAAATGGGGAGTTTGCGGTTGTGCAAATGGACTGTTTGCTGTTGTTTGCGGTGTGTTAAATGGGGAGTTTGGTCTGTCACTGTGAAGCGGGCGTAACCCTTACACTACCTGATCGATACAACATCATACAGTAGGTCCCCTCATTATTTTTATGGCCCCCACCCACCGCTCACGGGTGGGGGCGGGCGGGAGGACAGTAGGTCCCCCCCCATTGATTTATGGCCCCCACCCACCGCAGGGGTGGGGGCCGGGGAGGACAGTAGGTCCCCCCTTATCCTTATTTACTGAATATTCCCTGTATAACAATGTTTGGCATTTAGTGAATATTCCCTATTCTGCTCTGTGTCAGTGTGTATCAGGGATCCTTAGGATAGGTGTCAATCCATATCTGCCAAGTGACCCTATGTAGGGGGAACAGTCCCTATTCTGCTCTGTGTCAGTGTGTATCAGGGATCCTGAGGATAGGTGTCAATCCATATCTGCCAAGTGACCCTATGTAGGGGCAACAGTCCCTATTCTGCTCTGTGTCAGTGTGTATCAGGGATCCTGAGGATAGGTGTCAATCCATACCTGCCAAGTGACCCTATGTAGGAACAGTCCCTATTCTGCTCTGTGTCAGTGTGTATCAGGGATCCTTAGGATAGGTGTCAATCCATATCTGCCAAGTGACCCTATGTAGGGGGAACAGTCCCTATTCTGCTCTGTCAGTGTGTATCAGGGATCCTGAGGATAGGTGTCAATCCATATCTGCCAAGTGACCCTATGTAGGGGGAATAGTCCCTATTCTGCTCTGTGTCAGTGTGTATCAGGGATCCTTAGGATAGGTGTCAATCCATATCTGCTAAGTGACCCTATGTAGGGGGAACAGTCTCTATTCTGCTCTGTGTCAGTGTGTATCATGATCTCTGAGGACAGGTGTCAATCCATATCTGCCAAGTGACCCTATGTAGTAGAACAGTCTCTATTCTGCTCTGTGTCAGTGTGTATCATGGTCTCTGAGGACAGGTGTCAATCCATATCTGCCAAGTGACCCTATGTAGGAGGAACAGTCTCTATTCTGCTCTGTGTCCGTGTGTAAAATAGTCTCTGAGGACAGGTGGAATCCATATGTCAAGGTGTCAATATGTCATATGTCAGGTGTCAACTACATCCATTGTGATTTCAGAATGTTAGGTGATTTCTGCCCTTATGGACAAGACCAGACTCTGCACTCAACTGTAATTTTCCAAGGAGTTTTGCCATGGATCCCCCTCCGGCATGCCACAGTCCAGGTGTTAGTCCCCTTGAAACAACTTTTCCATCACTATTGTGGCCAGAAAGAGTCCCTGTGTGTTTTAAAATTCGCCTGCCCATTGAAATCTATGGCGGTTCGCCCGGTTTGCGAACATTTGCGGTAGTTCGCGTTCGCCGTTTGCGACATCACTATGACTTACCATGCAATCACATAACGCTTCAGACTGAGCCATTGGAATACTTGCTTCCATAGCAGCATATGCCTCTCACTGTGACGTTCAGCGACTGTTATGCACTGAACACCAGAGGCGGCTCTCTAATTAGGTTATTTAGGTGGCTGCCTAAATAGCCTTAGGGCAGAATGACTTGTCGGGCTCTCGGTCCATGACCAAGGGCCTGACATCGGGAGGAGGCCCAGCAGCTTGCCCTTTATGCTGCCAAGTGCAAGGCCCCTCCCATCTGCCCATAGAGCCGCCGGGTGTGAGCTGCAGACTGAAGTGTCTCGCGATCCCCAGCCAATCAGAGCGCTGCCGCGGGTTACCACAGCAATGCTCTGACCTCTGGAGATCGCAAGACTCCTATCACGTGGTCTGCAGCGGCGGAGCCCATTGGACCACTAGTGAGTCAGGACATTGGACCACCAGGGAAAAAAAGGTATTTCTCTCGCCACATATCACCCCTCCTTCCCTAAATGTCATCTGTCACCCCTACTATCCTTACTGCCACCTGTCACCCCCTACTCCCCTCAATGCAATCTGTCACCTCCTACTATCCTCACTGCAACCTGTCACACCCTCCTTCCCTAACTGCCACCCATTACTCCCCTCAATGCCACCAGTCACCCCCTACTATCCTCAATGCCACCAGTCACCCCCTACTCCCCTCAATGCCATCTGTCACCTCCTACTACCTTCACTGCCACCTGTCACCCCCTACTCCTCTCACTGCCACCTCGTACTCCCCTCACTGCCATCTGTCACCGTTTACTTCCCTCACTGCCACCTGTCACCCCCTACTCACCTCAATGTCATCTTTCACCCCCTACTATCCTCACTGCCACCTGTCATCCCCACCTTCCCTAATTGCCACCCTACTCCCCTCACTGCCAGCTGTCACCTTTTACTTCCCTCACTGCAACCTGTCACCCCCTACTACCCTCACTGCCATCTGTAACCCCCTCTGTCCCTAACACAGCCCCCATGTCATCCCCTCCTTCCCCAACACTACCACCAGTCAACCCCTCCTTTCTTCACTGCCACCTGTCACCCTCTACTCCCCTCACTGCCACGTGACCTGTCACCCCCTACTCCCCTCACTGCCACCTTTCATCCCACTGCCATCTGTCACCCTCTCCTTCCCTAACACTGCCCCATGGCCATCTGTCACTCTTTTCCACACTCTGTCACATACTCTGCCACCCCCCTTCACACACCCGCTCACCATCCTCCCACACACACGGTCACACCCTTAACTCTGCCACACTCACATTAACCCTCCTGATCATGTCACACTCACCCCCTCCAACCAGACCGCACTCGCCTCCCCTTGCTCTGCCACACTCACTCTATCACATTAACCCCCTAGTTCTATCATGCTCACAACTCCTCTTTCTGTCACACTCCCTCTTCCAACCGACACTTACACTGTCGCATTAACACCTTTAATCCTATCGCACTCACCCTGTCAATTAACCCCCTTAAACCTGTCTCATTCACCTCCCCTTTCCCTATCACACTACATCCTCCAACAATGCCACATACACCCCAACCCTGTGATACTCGCCTCCCCAACCATGCCATATTCACCCTGTCACATTAACAATTTAATCCTGTCACACCTCCCCTCACCCTGTAACACCCCCTCCTCCAACTATGTCACACTTGCCCTCCCTCATTTTGTCCCACTAACCCCTCAACCCTGTCTCATTCACCCATTCGCCCTGTCACACTCACCCTGCCACAGTTACTCCTTTACACACCCTGTCAGTCATCCCTGAAGACAATCACCATACACACACAGTCATAAAACAATGTGCACAAAGGCCACAATCAGCCCCCCATATACACAAAACACTGAAGCTATCTACCACACACACATACGGTCCCAGACACAAACATACTCATGCTCACAGACACATACATTCACATACAAGAATACGCACTGACAAACACACACTCTCAAGCACATTTACAGGTAGACAATGCCAGACACACTCAGAAATACACACAGGCAGATAAATACACATTGTTACTGTATGTCTGTATTAGTCAATATTTGTGTCTCTGTGCATCAGTGTGTTTGTGTGTGTGTATGCATGTGCATGTATCAGTGTGTAAATGTATTTGTGTATTAGTGTTTATATGTGTTAATTTATTAGTGTGTGTGTCTATGTCTGCAATGTGAGGGTGGTATGGTATGGGTAATGCAAAGGTAAAGTAGCAAGCAACATATATGCAGGGCCGGCCTTAGGCCTTTAGGCGCCCTGTGTGAAAAAATTTCACAGTCCCCCTCCCCCCCCATCATCCATGTATAGTGTGTGTGTGTGTGTATGGGAGTGTAGTGATTGTATAGGGGTTTATTAAATTAATAATGATTTAAAAACAAATATTAATTCCTTCTTTCCTGTTGTTACCTAGTTGGGAGAGGGGTGCTGATCTGAATCTGTTCGGCCCCTCGACTGGGTACAGACCATGCGTAACTGTCTCGCAAGCTCAGGGACCTGCAGTGTCTGATTAGCCATAGCTAGGAAGACAGCTACTTATGGTCTGCAGCCAACAGAAGTGCAGGCCAGAAGTGCAAGACTGCCTCCCCTACATTACAGAGGAGCAGACTAAGTATGTCACATTATACTGTGAGTTGTTTTGCTTTGGAGCTCTGGATTATACTTATTTACCTTGACCTCTTTGGAAATAAAATTTTGTAGTAATGCGCTAACTTCTCCATTTATCACAGAGCTCCACAACAATAAAACTCCCAGTAATGTGGAGCTCTGTGACAAGATCATACACTACACCACAATATAACTCTAAGTAATGTCTATTAGTGTATCACCGAGCTCCCTAACTATAAAACAGAGTAACATGCATTTTAAATACCAGAGCTCCACTGTAATACGTCTCACTATGATATGATGTAATGTTTGTGTTGTCTGTGTATATGATAGGTGTGATGACTATGTGTGATATGTATGCTATGTGTTGGCTGTGTGGGATATTTGTAATGGGTGTATTAACTGTGTGATATGCGTGTATTGGTTGTATGTGATATTTGTGCTGGGTTTATTGGCTGTGTGTGATGGGTATTTAATTCAGATAAAAATATGCATTTAAGCCTATGTGCGAATGCAGGTGTATATTTTTGCATAGTTATGTGCACACAGTCCCACAGTCAGCTGCACAGTTATACATATACACTTGTCAAATACACCACATGCACACAGTCGCAGGCAGATAGTCGCAGAAACACACAGGTACCGGCATTAACACACATACAGTTACAGGCAGATAAACACACTCACACACAATTACAGGAAGGCAGACACACACAGGCAGCCAGCCCCACACACACAGCCAGACATACAGTTTGACTCGCACACACACATACTTACATTGCAGACAGCCACACAGGCAGACATCCACACACACAGACAGCCACACACATGCACACAGGCAGGCAGTCACACGCAGACAGCCACATACAAACACACAGGCAGACAGCCACACACACACACACACACACACACACAGAGGCAGACAGTCTCTCTCACACAGGCAGACAGTCTCTCTCACACAGGCAGACAGTCTCTCTCACACAGGCAGACAGTCTCTCTCACACAGGCAGACAGTCTCACACACACAGGCAGACAGTCTCACACACACAGGCAGACAGTCCCACACACACAGGCAGACAGTCACGCACACACACAGATATAAGATGTGAATATGACTCAAATATTGCTACTTTGTAATATATCAGAAATAATATGTATATTTGGCATTTATGAGACAGAGTATAAATTAACCGTGTTATATTGCTTTAAGATCCAAAGGAGACTGTTTTCAAGTTCATGGTGAAATTCTTCCTGGTAGATCCGGGCCTTCTGCAGGGAGAGCTGACAAGGTAAATCATTCACGACAAATGATAACATGCTTCCCGAAATTTTAGTTTGATGTTTTTGGCTTGGGATGATGCATTAATGATGATTTTAAACTTGAAGAAAACTTTTTGTTTAACCTTTTTCAGTGAGTCATTGAATTGTGATCCTCCCATCTTGGTGTCTAATCTACACACCATCACATTTTCAGATTCCCCTGTATTTCTCATCCATCCCACTCATTTCCTCAGCATACCATTTCTCATCTTTTAATCCTATAAATAGATTCACGACCTGTAGCACATGTAGAGGCTGAACAAGCACCACCCTTTTTGGCTCCGCTGTTAGCAGAATTTGCTCTCATGGAGCCTACCAATAACTGCAGAATTTAAGTCTTGCTCCTTCACCAATCAGTGGACTACCACTTTAAGATACATTACTTTAACAGCCTAATGAATGGGTGTTGTTCACTAAAAAGGAGTTGAAATGAGTTCAGTTAATGCTAAAATTACAATTAAAGAAGCTGAGTTTAATTTTTTTCCTTTCTTTTGCAAAAAGAGCATCAACAAAATTACACATAAAAAAAAACACCAAAACCCTGCATATTGCACAGTGTAGCTTTTTGCAATACCTTGACCTCATTGTATCAATCCTTCACTTCCCAGGTATCTCTTTGCACTCCAGATAAAAAAGGACTTGGCCTCTGGGAGATTAACGTGTAATGACAATAGTGCTGCTTTAATGGCGTCTTATGTTCTCCAGTGTGAGTATAAAATCATTAATTCAGACATATGGGGTAAATAGCTAGAATAGAAATGTAGGACAGCACATCGAATTATATATTGTTATACAAAAATACTTTAAACAAAGTAATTTTATAAGTGTATACAATTTTATTTTTCCATTTATTTGTTCATTCTATATAGAAATATTGGGAAGGTAAAAAGCTTTAATGTGCCTCTCAAATAGTCTGAAATATTAATTTAGAAACGGAAATACCATTCTTGTCACTTACATTAGATGTGACAAACAGAGATATAGATGGACAAATATTTATATTATGTTAATGGATATTTGGGTTGGGGAATGCAAATTCTAAAAAAATACCTTCTGAATGAAAAGCGAATATCTCTATATGAGCAACATGACAATATACAATAGGTACCTGGCTAAAACTACTGATCTGTATTATACACAGCCCTGCAGTGTGTTTATTAGCACCCCTTCCGTTATCCTTACTCTGATTGCTACGATGCATACAGGCTCCTAAACAGATCAAGGTCAGAAACAGGCACATGTTGTCATAGAATGCAAGTCTCAGAGTGCTCATTCAGTCACATAGCGTGTTGTGTATACATACTGTCAATCATAGACCACGGTAGCAACAAGAGCAGGCACTAATTACCTACGCTAATGATACTATCTCTCTTAAAATGTTGATAATTTATGAGAATTCTGTGTTATTTTCAATGTGTGGGGTTTTTTTTTTTCTTAATGCAGCAGAACTGGGGGATTACGACGATGATATAGCCAGAAATCATCTGGAACAGACCCAGTATTTACCAAATCAAGAGTATCTTGACAATAAAATCCTGAAATATTACCAGCGCCATATGTAAGTCTAATCATTATACAATAAATGAATCAAACTGCAATCCGGCAAATGGATTTTTTTTTTTTTCTTCAATAGACATACAGTCAAATCTAAAATAGGTCGGATGTGTCTAGAGAACAGAACAGGTTGATCATCAAAATACACAGACAGGGTTATTTACCAAAGCTGAATTTGATTTTTTTTAAAAACATTTTTATTTTGAATTCACTGTTTGCATTTTAAATTGTCTTTTTGTAAGTGGGGGAGGGTGGTTGTTTGGATTTTTGGTTTTCTTTACCTTAATACATTTGAAAGAGCAATACAATGCAATGTAAATGTTTAACCAAAATAACCTCGCATATCAAAGATATGTTTTACTATTTTAGCATTACTTCCATTAAAGGACCACCCCAGGCACCCAGACCACTTCAGCTTAATGAAGTGGTCTGGGTGCCAGGTCCAGCTAGGGTTAACCCATTTTTTTATAAACATAGCAGTTTCAGAAAAACTGCTATGTTTATAAATGGGTTAATCCAGCCCTCAAATCCTCTAGTGGCTGTCTCATTGACAGCCGCTGGAGGCGCTTGCATTATTCTCACTGTGAAAATCACAGTGAGAACAACATGAGACCGGCTGAATGCGCGCGCAGCTCTTGCCGCGCGTGCGCATTCAGCCGAAAGAGAGGAGAGGAGGCGGAGAGCTCCCCGCCTGGCGCTGGAGAAAGGTAAGTTTTAACCCCTTTCCTCTCCCCAGAGCCCGGTGGGAGTGTGACCCTGAGGGTGGGGGCACCCTCAGGGCACTATAGTGCCAGGAAAACGAGTATGTTTTCCTGGCACTATAGTGGTCCTTTAAGAAGGTACAATTTTCATTTATTCGAATTTGAATTTACTATGTGCCTATAATACTGATTGGGAAGGATAACTTTAAAAGTATTACTTCTGTGTCTAGAGGGAAGTCTCCAGCTGAATCAGACATGCAGTTACTGGACATAGCAAGGAAGCTGGATATGTATGGAATCCGTCCTCACCCGGCCAACGATGGAGAGGATATGCAGATCAACCTTGCTGTGGCACATATGGGTGTCCTGGTCTTGCGGGTAATTTAAAATACTGCTGATGTAAATCGCTGATGTGTACTCTAAATAATAATTTGTTCTAGAGACAGCATTATTTTAAAATATGATTGAAGTCAATCCATGCAGGACCATATTTCTCAATAGGATATTTATAATAAGCACATGTTTAGGTGTATATGAAACCTGGTTTGGGTTTCAGAGCAGAAATGGAAACTACTGTAACGAGAATATACCCCTACACGCAGGATCCAGCTAAACAGAGGCAGATACAGAGGAGAGATACGTCTACCGGACCTTAGAATGGCCGGACTCGACGTATATGAGAGGAGACAGAGCCAGGAACAAACCGAGGTCAAGGGCACAGAGAGACAGCGTAAACTAGGACAAGCCGGGGTCTGGTACACGGAAAACAGCAAGCCGGCAAACAGTACAGATAAGGATAAAGCGAAAACGAAGTCAGAATACGAAGCCAAAGTCAATACGAGAAAACACAACTGAACACCACAAGCGCTAAAGGGAACTGAAACAGAAACCACGATAGGGCAACGAGCTAAGGGAAAAAGGTAAGTTAAATAGCTTTTAAACCAAAGTGATTGGCTCCTGTCACTTCCACACCCCCTATAGGTAATTGTACAGGGAGTGTGGTATGACAGGAGCCAATGGGAGCCTTTTGGCAATTAGGCTCCCACTGTCTCTTTAAGAGCGCGCCCGAGACTCGCGGCGCGCTCTTAGTTTCAGGCGGGACACGTGACCGCTTCACGCGGTCACTGCCCGCCTTCCATCTGAAGCAGTCGGATGAGCCGCGCGCGGCTCGTGCAGCCGCAGGACCGCGCGCGGCTTGAAGAGAGGACCGCGACCGGCCCCCGGTTAAGGTAAGTAACGCTACAGTACCCCCCCCTGAGGACACGCCCCCCGGGCGGGTAGGACCAGGCCTGGCAGGAAAACGAGAATGGAAAGAGCGCACAAGACGGGGAGCATGGACAGCATCAGCCGAAATCCAACTGTGCTCCTCAGGCCCATAACCCTTCCAATGTACCAAGTACTGAAGTCGACCCCTAAGGAAACGAGAGTCAAGAACAGCAGACACTTCAAACTCCTCATGACCCTCCACCGAGATAGGAGGGGGAGGAGGAGTATGCCGGGTATAGCGGTTGCGTGCGAAAGGTTTCAACAATGAGGTGTGAAAAACATTAGGAATACGTAGATTCTTAGGCAGGCCTAAGGCATAAGAAACAGGATTAACCTTATGTATAATACGATAAGGTCCAATGAAGCGGGGAGCCAATTTCATAGAAGGCACCCGGAGACGAATATTCCGCGTGGAAAGCAAAACCCTGTCCCCCACAACATAGGACGGAGCTGCTCTGCGATGCTTGTCAGCCTGAGCCTTCTGGCGAGTAGCAGAGTCCACCAAAGAACGCTGAACCTGCTCCCAAGTATTACGCAAACCAGCCAAATGCTCATCCAGAACTGGCATGCCCTGTGAGGAGAATGCAGCCGGAAGAACAACGGGATGCTGGCCATAGACAACGTAAAAAGGGGTCTTGCCGGAAGAATCATGAGTGGCGTTATTCCGAGCAAATTCAGCCCAAGGAAGCAGGTCAGACCAATTGTCCTGATGGTGAGACACAAAACAACGGAGGTATTGCTCCAGAGACTGGTTGGCACGTTCAGCAGCCCCATTAGACTGGGGATGATAAGCGGAAGAAAATGAGAGAGAAATACCCATTTCTGAACAAAAGGCCCTCCAGAACCTGGAAATAAATTGGCTACCCCTATCGGATACAATAGATACGGGAATCCCATGTAATCGAAATACTTCTCTAGCGAAGATATGAGCCAGTTCCTTGGATGTGGGCAACTTGTGAAGAGACACGAAGTGAGCCATTTTGGAGAACCGATCCACTATCATCAGGATTACTGTGTTACCATTTGAAGGGGGTAATTCAACAATAAAATCCATGGACAGGTTAGACCAAGGTCTCTCGGGAACGGGTAACGGATGCAACAGCCCACAAGGAACTCTACGGGAGGATTTCATACAGGCACAAGTAGTACAAGCACTTATATAGTCAGTGACATCCTTTCGTAAGGAATCCCACCAAAAATACCGAGAAACAGCTGACACCGTTTTGGAAATACCAGGATGTCCAGCAGTCTTAGTATCATGATATAATGACATAATATCCCGTCTCTCAGGAACATCAACGAACAGTTTATCATTAGGCCTCTCGCTAGGTGCCATGCTTTGTTTCGCTTGTATGGCCTGCAAGAGGGACGAGGAAATAGACAAAATAGTAGTAGCTATTATCCTGTCTGGGGGAATGACAGGAGTAACATCAATCTCCTGTTTGTCAGTAGTTTCGAACTGTCTGGACAGAGCGTCTGCTTTAGTGTTGCGATCACCTGGCCTATAGGTGATAATAAAATTGAAACGGGACAAAAATAGTGACCACCTAGCCTGCCTGGAAGACAATCTTTTGGCTTCGCTAAGGTAGGATAGGTTCTTGTGATCCGTAAAAATGAGGATAGGATCCTTAGTTCCTTCTAACAAATGTCTCCACTCTTTAAGTGCTAAAATAATAGCAAGGAGTTCGCGATTACCCACATCATAATTTTTCTCTGCTTTGGACATTTGTTTAGAAAAGAAGCCGCATGGATGCAATGGCTTTTCAGGCGACTCTCTTTGGGATAAGACAGCACCTACCCCAATATCCGAAGCATCAACTTCAAGAATATAGGGCAGTGAGGGGACAGGATGCTGTAAAATAGGTGCAGAGGCGAACGTAGTTTTAAGAAATTCAAAAGCCTGAAGTGCCTCGGTAGACCAAACACGAGTATTGCCATCCTTTTTAGTCATACGGGTAATAGGTGCTACAATGGACGAGAAACCTTTGATAAAACGTCTATAATAATTGGAGAACCCAAGAAAACGCTGAATAGCTTTCAGACCTTGCGGTAGAGGCCATTCTATTACAGCAGCTAGCTTCTGGGGATCCATACGAAAACCTTTAGCGGAAATCAAATACCCCAAGAACTGGACTTCGGTTTGGTCAAACAAACATTTTTCTAGCTTGCAATAAAGACCATTAGCAAGAAGGGTCTTCAAAACTGTCGTAACATGTCTGTGATGAGTGTGTATATCTGTAGAATATATTAAAATGTCGTCCAAGTATACGATAACAAATGTGTGAATAAAATCTCTTAAGACATCATTAATAAATTCTTGGAATACTGCTGGGGCATTGCAAAGCCCAAATGGCATAACAGTATATTCGTAATGACCGGATCTAGTGTTGAATGCAGTCTTCCATTCGTGATTTTCCTTTATACGTATCAAATTGTATGCACTCCTAAGGTCTAATTTAGTGAACACAGTGGCATGTTTCAGCCTGTCAAATAATTCTGTAATTAAAGGTATAGGATATGCATTTTTGATAGTGATTTTCTTTAGACCTCTATAATCTATACACGGTCTTAAATCACCTTCTTTCTTCGATACAAAGAAGAACCCTGCTCCAGCTGGAGAAGAGGATCTCCTAATAAACCCCTTTTCTAGTGATTCCTTAATATACTCCTCCATGACACGGTTTTCTTGAACCGATAAGGGGTACACCCTGCCCTTTGGAGGTATAGTGCCAGGCAACAAGTCAATAGCGCAATCATAGGGTCTGTGAGGCGGTAATTTCTCAGCCTCCCTTTTATCGAAAACAGTCTTTAGAGATAAATACTGAGGGGGTATAACCGTAGACAAAGGAGGACTGGTAGGTACCTCAATAGAATTCAAAGGTGTGACTTCCAACGTACAAGACTCGTGGCAGGCCTCACTCCATGATTTTATTTGCCCTGTCTCCCAGTCAAAAATGGGATTGTGAGCACGTAACCATGGATACCCTAATACTAACTGTGAAGAGGGAGAGGTGATGACCTGGAATCGAATGGTTTCATAGTGTAAAACCCCTGTGTACATGTGTAATGGTACAGTCTCATGAGTGACAACTGGAGAACTTAATGGTCTACCATCTATGGCCTCAACGGCCAAGGGTATCTCCTTCTCTCTGATGGGAATGTTGTTTCTCTTTATAAAGCCAGAGTATATAAAATTTTCAGCTGCCCCAGAGTCAACCAGAGCATATATGTTGTCAACTATACAAATCTCTCCCATATATAAAGAAACCGGGAGAAGCAAGCGGTTAGGAGGCAATTTAGGAGACTTAGATATCACACCCAAGGCCAGTCCCCTATAAGGTCTTAGGTGCGAGAGTTTTCCGGGAGTAAAGGACATTCCTTTACCATATGGTCTCTCCTACCACAGTATAGGCAGAGTCCCTCCCTTCTCCTATGTAATTTCTCAGTATCAGAGAGTTTGGCAACCCCTAATTGCATAGGTTCCTCCTCAGACACTTTAACACTCTCTGGTATATTAACTCTGGGGTTAATGGGTGTAACAAAACGTCTATTCCTGTTCTTGTTATAGAGCCTGTCACGAATTCTATTATCTATATCAATGAGGTAATCGATAAGGTCCTCTAAGGCAATAGGAAGCTCCTTAGCTGCTACCTCATCCAATATCGTATCTGACAAACCTTCCATAAAGGCAGTAGTTAACCCATTGTTGGTCCAATCTACCTGCGAAGCAAGAGTGCGAAACTGAATAGCATAATCAGCCACAGACCTAGAACCCTGTTTAATTCTCATTAATGCTCTCGCGGCATTCTTTGACCTTTTCATTGTGTCAAAAGTTCTACGAAAAGCCGTAAGAAAACTGTTGAAATCATGCACCATAGGTCCATTAGCTTCCCAAATAGGATTTGCCCACTCAAGTGCCTTATCGGTGAGTTGGTGCATAAAGAACCCAACCTTAGACCTCTCTGTGGGAAATGAACGTGGATACATTTCGAAGTGGAATTCAATTTGATTAATAAACCCTCTGCAAGTCTTAGAGTCCCCTCCATACCTAGGAGGAGGTGTTAAATGGGCCGAAGTATTAGGCAAAGTAGATACTTCAGGGAGAAGGGGCGTAGGAGGGTTAGGTGTGGTTGCTGGAACGGTTCTAGCTAGGAGCGTCTGGAGAGCCTGAGCTATCTGATCCATCCGGTGATCCTGCTCTACAAATCTTGCCTCATGGGACGCCATCTGTTGAGCTAAATCTGCGGGGTCCATGGCCCTATCGTAATGTAACGAGAATATACCCCTACACGCAGGATCCAGCTAAACAGAGGCAGATACAGAGGAGAGATACGTCTACCGGACCTTAGAATGGCCGGACTCGACGTATATGAGAGGAGACAGAGCCAGGAACAAACCGAGGTCAAGGGCACAGAGAGACAGCGTAAACTAGGACAAGCCGGGGTCTGGTACACGGAAAACAGCAAGCCGGCAAACAGTACAGATAAGGATAAAGCGAAAACGAAGTCAGAATACGAAGCCAAAGTCAATACGAGAGAACACAACTGAACACCACAAGTGCTAAAGGGAACTGGAACAGAAACCACGATAGTGCAACGAGCTAAGGGAAAAAGGTAAGTTAAATAGCTTTTAAACCAAAGTGATTGGCTCCTGTCACTTCCACACCCCCTATAGGTAATTGTACAGGGAGTGTGGTATGACAGGAGCCAATGGGAGCCTTTTGGCAATTAGGCTCCCACTGTCTCTTTAAGAGCGCGCTCGAGACTCGCGGCGCGCTCTTAGTTTCAGGCGGGACACGTGACCGCTCCACGCGGTCACTGCCCGCCCTCCATCTGAAGCAGTCGGATGAGCCGCGCGCGGCTCGTGCAGCCGCAGGACCGCGCGCGGCTTGAAGAGAGGACCGCGACCGGCCCCCGGTTAAGGTAAGTAACGCTACAACTACAGAGGCAAATATTTAACATTTAACAATTTAGTTTATCTACAGTAAGGTAAAGTATTTGGTCCCCTGCTGATTTTGAACGTTTGTCCACTGATAAAGAAATGATCAGTCTATCATTTTAATGGTAGGTGTATTTTAACAGTAAAACACAGAATAACACAAAAAAAAATCCAGAAAAACGCATGTCAAAACAGTTATAAATTGATTTGCATGTCAATGAGTGAAATAAGTATTTGATCCCCTATCAATCAGCAAGATTTCTGGGTCCCAGGTGTCTTTAATACAGTTAACACGCTGAGATTAGGAGCACTCTCTTAAAGGGAGTGCTCCTAATCTCAGCTCGTTACCTGTATAAAAGACACCTTTCCACAGAAGCAATCAATCAATCAGATTCCAAGCTCTCCACCATGGCCAAGACCAAAGAGCCACCATGGCCAAGACCAAAGATGTCAGGGACAACATTGTAGACTTACACAAGGCTGGAATGGGCTACAAAACCATTGCTAAGCAGCTTGGTGAGAAGGTGACCACAGTTGGTGCGATTATTCACAAATGGAAGAAACACAAAATAACTGTCAGTCTCCCTCGGTCTGGTGCTCCATGCAAGATCTCACCTCATGGGGTTTCAGTTATCATCAGAATGGTGAGGAATCAGCCCAGAACTACACAGGAGGATCTTGTTAATGATCTCAAGGCAGCTGGGACCATAGCCCCCAAGAAAACAATTAGTAACACACTACGCTGTGAAGGATTGAAAGTGTTGTGGTCAGATGAGATCAAAATCGAACTCTTCGGCATCAACTCAACTCACCGTGTTTGGAGGGGAAGGAATGCTGCCTATCACCATGGGTGTCTGCAGGGGGGCACAAGCCCCCCCCCGCCCCCCCTGGATTTTTCAGCTTGTTCTGCTACTTTACGTGTGATTGAAAATACAGTGCAATACCGGCCAGTAGCTGTGTATGGAGAGAGACAGGGACGGGAAGCTGCATCTTATCCCTGCTTCTCTGACTGAATCTGCAGGGGAGCAGCACAGAGTGCAGCCAGCCTACAGATCAGGTAAGTGATCAGGTAAGTGAGACATGAGAGGGGGCATCCTATAGATCAGGGAAGTGAGACATGATGGGGGGCAGCCTATAGATCAGGGAAGTGAGGCGAGGGGGGGCAGCCTATAGATCAGGGAAGTGAGGCATGGGGGCAGCCTATAGATCAGGGAAGTGAGGCATGGGGGGCAGCCTATAGATCAGGGAAGTGAGGGAGGGAGAGGGGGAGAGAGCCTATAGATCAGGTAAGTGAGGGATGGGGGGGAGGAGAGGCAGCCTATAGATCAGGAGTAAGTGAGGGATGGGGAGGAGGCCTGAGATCAGGTAAGAGGTGAGGGATGGGAGGATGGGCAGCCTATAGATCAGGTAAGTGAGGGATGGGAGGACAGACGGCCTATAGATCAGGTAAGAAGTGAGGGATGGGGGAGGAGAAAGCCTACTATAGATCCAGGTAAGGAAGTGAGGGATGGGGGGAGGAGAAAGCCTATAGATCAGGTAAGTGAGGGATGGGGGGAGGAGAGAAAGCCTATAGATCAGGTAAGTGAGGGATGGGGGGAGGACAGACAGCCTATAGATCAGGTAAGTGAGGGATGGGGGGAGGACAGACAGCCTATAGATCAGGTAAGTGAGGGATGGGGGAGGAGAGAAAGCCTATAGATCAGGTAAGTGAGGGATGGGGGGAGGAGAGAAAGCCTATAGATCAGGTAAGTGAGGGATGTGGGGGTGGGAGAGACAGCCTATAGATCAGGTAAGTGAGAGAATCGGGGTGCAGCATACAGATCAGGTAAGTGAGGGATGGGGGGGGAGACCTGGGCCTGGCAGGGAAACTTTGGATCTTCTCATCTCCCTAGGTAAAAAAAAATATCGGTGTTAATGTGTTCACTTTTATTTACTGAGTGTCAGGAAGCACAGAGTGCCACTGGGTAGGGGTGTCGCTGATTGGCTAGAGTGGTCAAAGCAAATCAGTAGCTCCCCATTCATAAAAAAGTTAAGCGTCAACTGACCACTCTAGCCAATCTGCAGCACCCATGCCTAACGTCAATCTGCACTTCCTGATGCTGCGTTTCAGAAGCCAGATACGACCTGGAGATCTGGAGCTGGAGGAAGCCTTTGGGGTTAAACCATTTGAGAGAGGTTTAACCCCTTAAAAGAAAGAGAGCACCCAGGATCTTCCTGGCGTCGTAGCATTTTAATTTAGATGAAGTTGTTATGGTGACCAGAATGTTCCTTTAAATTGCTTAAAGGAACACTATAGTGTCAGGAATACAAACATGTAAGGCTGACCACTGTGATTGCCAACAAGGGTTTTGCCACCAAGTGCTAAGTCGAAGGGGTCAAATATTTATTTCACTCATTGACATGCAAAACAATTTATACATTTTTTACATGCGTTTTTCTGGATTTTTTTTTTTTTTTGTTATTCTGTCTCTGACTGTTAAAATACACCCACCATTAAAATTATAGACTGATCATTTCTTTGTCAGTGGGCAAACGTTCAAAATCAGCAGGGGATCAAATACTTTTTTTCCTCACTGCATGTTATTCCGTAAATCTATTTACAAATAAATACAAAGAAGTACATTCCATAGTTCTAAGCTATGATTTTGGCTCCCTGTGGAAGTTATGGCTTTGTGAGAGGAACAGTATTCCTGACACCATAGTTGTGAAAACGCTATTCACCCTGGCTTTATGTGATAATGACTATGCCCTTTCCCCTTCATGACACTGTCAAAAAGGGACCAAGCATGGATGTCATTACAATAATGCCCCCCCCACCCCAAAAAATTCCTTTGGACGCCCATGCCTATCACCCCAAGAACACCATCCCCACCGTCAAATATGGAGGTGGAACATTATGCTTTGGGGGTTTTTTTCTGCTAAGGGGAAAGGGCAACTGCACCGCATCAAAGGGACAATGGACGGGGCCATGTACTGTCAAATCTTGGGTGAGAACCTCCATTCCTCAACCAGGTTATTGAAAATGGTCGTGGATTGGTACTTCAGCATGACAATGACCCAAAACACACAGCCAAGGCAACAAAGGTGTGGCTCAAGAAGAAGCACATTAAGGTCCTGGAGTAGCCTAGCCAGTCTCCAGACCTTAAGCCCATGGAAAATCTGTTGAGGGAGCTGAAGGTTCGAGTTTCCAAAAATCCATTTAGAAACCTTAATGACTTGGAGAGGATCTGCAAAGAGGAGTGGGACATAATCCCTCCTGAGATGTGTGCAAACCTGGTGGCCAACTACAAGATAAGGCTGACCACTGTGATTGCCAACAAGGGTTTTGCCACCAAGTGCTAAGTCGAAGGGGTCAAATATTTATTTCACTCATTGACATGCAAAACAATTTATAAATTTTTTACATGCGTTTTTCTGGATTTTTTTTTTTTTTTTGTTATTCTGTCTCTGACTGTTAAAATACACCCACCATTAAAATTATAGACTGATCATTTGTTTGTCAGTGGGCAAACGTTCAAAATCAGCAGGGGATCAAATACTTTTTTTCCTCACTGCATGTTATTCCGTAAATCTATTCATAAATAAATACAAAGAAGTACATTCCATAGTTCTAAGCTATGATTTTGGCTCCCTGTGGAAGTTATGGCTTTGTGAGAGGAACAGTTCCAGAATGTTTCAGGATATCTCTCGGTCAGGCACTCAATGTGTGAAATGTGGCCAGGCAATCCCCAGAGGTCCAGAAGTCTGTCTGGGTAGTAAAATAAGCATTCGGGGGTCCCATCCGCACAGTGGCAATAGCCCATTTTAGGAGTCCCTTTGAACCAGGTCCATAGTCTGTAGGCAGGAGGCTGGCTTTCAAGTCAGGAGCTTCTATCACAGTATGGAGGTCTTGTCCTATTGTTAATGGCTCACTTAAAAGGTCTCAGACAAGTTTAAAAAAAATGCCAGGCAAGTATCCTTTGCAGACACAATAAACCCGGGTCAGACTATCTGTCAGTTACTACTTCACCTTGTTAATTCCTTATTTACATATTTTTAGTTTATCCCTAAACTTAGAGGGCATTCCGGGCTTAGAATCCTTTAAAAGTTAAAATGGTCATCTGGGGGTGCTGTTTATGTAATTCAGAACAGACTTGACTAACATTTAGGCTCTAGAGCAGTGGTGCCCAACCCAGTCCTCATGGACCACCAACAGTTCAAGATTCATGTATTTCCATTTTTTTATGGAGATAAATGGAGATACTGACAAAACCTGGACTGTTGGTGGTCCATGAGGACTTGGTTGGGGACCACTGCTCTAGACTACCTCTGAGGACACTAGATGTAAAGGTTTCCTTAATTGTAAAATTTAAAGAGTGCTGTAAGCTTGTTTGATACATTCTATCAGTCGGTTGAGTTAATAATATTTGTAGAAATGCTGAAGGAAAAATCAACAGACATTGCTATTATATTGTGTGTTTACTGTGAATTGGACATTATTTCCTAATGAATACATCTTTTTTTAATGCAGGGTAATACTAAGATTAACACCTTCAACTGGGCTAATATTAGGAAGTTGAGCTTCAAAAGGAAACATTTTCTTATTAAACTTCACCCACACATTGATGTGAGTATTTACGTGAATCTAAATTGTACACATGTTGGGATATACCATAAAACAAAACTGTATCCAATATAAGAAAGTTCTAAGGTAGAATCTCTGTTGTTGAAGATGGAATGTTCAAGGGAGTAATAGTAATAGTAATTAAAGGGACACCCCAGACACCTAAAGCAGTGGGTTCTCTTTATTTCATTAGTGCTAATTTCAATAGAAAATGACACCTTTGTAAATTATACTGTTTGCACCCCGTGGCTTTTCAAGCAGACAACCGGTTACTACCTGGTTTGGTTAGCTTATTTGCACTGAACTCAAGAGGCAGCAATTGTCCAGAGCAACTGCCTTGCAAAGATTTCTCATTGAGCTGCATTGGGAAGTCTGTGATTGGACAGCCACAGAAAGTCTGGGAAGGGGTTAGAAGGGGAGGGCTTGTAAATGCTGCAGTCAAGAAATCTGCAGTTTTTGCAAGCTAGGTTTAGATATAACTCCAATTAAAAAATGCATAATTAAATGCATACAAGTTTTCATTTTGAATATATCTACTAAACAGTGATTTTTGTTTATTTTGTGTTTGGCCAGTGCAGTGTCCCTTTAAGATTTCTGTTGCAATGCTTGTTGCAATGCTTGTTTATGTGGCAAGATGGGATACATGAGACAAATATATATAAGCAGCATTTCTTT